GCACTAGACGTTAATGATGCTTAAATCTTCTGGTTTACTCATCTGTGTTCCAACGAGAAGTTATGAATCGTAGAGTTCGCTCGCACATACGAATAAGGTGTCGAACGTGCAAGGCACCTTTGCCTCCAGGAGAACGTTAAGGACCCCAAATTACCCCCTGCAGTCATTCAGTTTTTATGACGTAGTTTTACAGGTTTGGGCGTTTTCTGTTAGGATTGTCCCCATAGCTTATAATTCCTTTTAATGTATAGGGAGTCGACGTCGAATGATGGCCTTCACGGACTTGGTGGTAGGACTTGGGATAGCGTAGGAATTTTGTCCAACTGGGGCATTTCTTGTGATTTATTGTTGACACACAATTGTTGGGAACACAGGAACCTATTAACCATATTTACTATCCATTGTTAGTAAGTACATGATTTTAGAGAAGTGATAACTAGTGAATAGAAAAAATTTGTTTCATAATTCAACACTCCAAAAACCAATGCGATAACTTCCAAAATTTATGTAATCGAGGGGTAACCTTTCTTTTCAGACTACCCGCTCTGAGAGCAATGGCCAAATTAAGTAACACCTTTCATACATGTTGCTACAAACTGTAGCAGAATACATTTTTATATCAAAATCCAAGAAGTGTCGATCAGTCTATTACGATCTCCTGGTGAAATGTTATTTGCAGTGAAATAATGTACATACCATGTATTTTTATACGACTTCGATGAATATAGTCAGATGTTATTTGAGCAAATATACAGTAAAGACGTAGCTTTTTGACATTCCCCTCTAATTGTTCTACAAATTACTTCTTTCGTAAGGGGGCAGAACATACTAAACCAACAGTACGCAGAAGCGTTTAAGAACACCAGAATAACAACTGGTGTAAGTAGACCCTCGAGATTGTAAACTAAAGCCGCATTTTTTTTTAACATTTCATCTTTTGTAAATGATGTTAGTAATCATCCCTTTTCATCATCATGGCTTTACCGCACTTTATTTTTCATTGGTTGAATATATTTAAGTTAATGACACTATTGGACATTAATTTACATAGAATCATGGTCAAGCGCTTGGTTTATTTTATTCTGGTATTTATTTTGCATATGGAATATCAGCTAGTTATCTCTCATGATCTCGCTAGTTCTTCGGTCATGGTAATCAGAGTTCTTATAAAGTTTTACAGATAACAGTCAAAGGTAAGATCTTGACAAGCATGATATGCTGGAAAAACCACTCGGCGCTCAGTTGTTTATGTAGAATACTTCTAACAAGGCAACAATCGAACATTTTGTAGAATGATATACTTAAACAAACGAAAGGAACAAGCGGAATAATGCCTCGTGATAAAAGTCAATATAGGGTTAATTCTGTACAAATGTTTTATGTACTTAAATATAAATATTGCAATACTATGAACATGTTAAAAAAAATAATAAAATAAAAAAGAAGGCCAGACATGCCTCTAAGCGTATTTGATATCTTGGAACCTTTAGGTGTTATGATCACTCGATATAAACCTATAAGTTAATGGTTGAAAATAAGAAGATCCTCTCCTTTTCATAAAGTAGTTCTGCCTTCTTAGATTTCAAAGCAATTATAAACTTGCATTAGTATTTGTTGAACGGGTTATTGCATGCTGTTATACGATATAGCAGGGCGAATTTATTATCTATCCTCCCGTTTTTGTCTCTTCGCTTCATTCTGTTTATAGGAGCGCCCTCTCCGCCCCAAACCCTTTTTCGAAGGGGTTCCCACCCTCGCTCCCTCCGGGTATCGGGTTCCACGAATAACGTCTCCGGTTACACAGAGGGGAGGGGCCGTTCCTATGGAGACACCCCGACCACACCCGGGTCCACCCAATTTTAACTGCCGCCCCCGGAGGCGGCGAGATGTAATACAACCTATGCCACTGTATTTTATATCGACGGTATTCCGAGTACATTTGGGATGTTGAGCATTAAAGGGTACTCGAGAATTTTGGAGTTAGTCTTTTTTTTTTATTCTTGCCTAATTTTACCGATTTTCTCTTTCCTTCGCGAAACTTTTCAAGGCTGAAGTGCTAGTGGCCATAGAAAATTGTGAGATTTCTTCATGGGTTCTGCGAGAGGAGGTTAATCTGTAGTTTGGTAGTTAGTTAAACTGATGATCCTCACTCGTTTCGCCAGGTACAGTGATGGTAAAAGGTGTTGCGTATTTGGTTTATACATACAAAATAAAAACTTTTTTTCAAACCAAACAATATAAAACTGCTTTCGTTGAAAAACAGCAACAAAATCAATCACCGAAACTATCGCGTCGAAGTACCGAATAACCATAGAGATATCTGCTTTCTTCTTTTTGTTCTTCTACTTCTTCTGTTCTTTAAATATTTTTTTAAATTAGCTGATCATTGTTCGATTTCTTCCTGGAGTTACGAAACTACTAGTTTCGTTACAATTTGGCTTTTTGGAGTTTCTGGACTCGTACTGCAATTTTACGTTCAACCTTTGCTCCCACAGATAAGCATTAAATGATGAAACAAAACCGCCCAAACAAATTTAATTTAATTATCTTCATTTCATTTTCTACTCTGCTTTGAGAAGATTTCTTCCAAAAGAAGTATTAGTTCTTGGATAGGCAACATTTCAGTTTTATAGTCATTTCTCTACAGATTGGAATAAAGCCTGATTCCTGATAATAATAAACATTTAATTTTCATCATATATACTTTGTAAAAAAAATTAACACATCTAAATAAATAAAGTGTACAGTGACTAATCTCATTATCCATTTTAATATTCTCTTTAGTGGATTTTTAAAATAGAGAAACATTTGTAGTCGCCTAGACGTTAAAAAATGTGCAGTTTAGTCGTTTACTCATATTTCTGGTACGTCGATTTTAGCTGATTTTGTCTTGAATAGTGTTTTGCCATCCTCATTTGTTGGTCTACCTTTGCGTTATCGGTGACTTTAATTCGATAGAGCGAATATTTAACAACCATACATTTTATGGGCTTTAAAAATACATAATGCGTTACATAAGTCGTGACTAGGAGTTTTTGAGACAGTAATTTTTAACCAATAAATCTGATTAACGATTCGAAATGGACAATTATAAAATGAACCTTTTGGTCTAAAAGCTCTGTAAATATGCAAAACTTTAAACGTTATTTTTTTATTATCCTTCTCTTTTTTCCATCATAGAAAATATCAATCGTGCTTTTTTTTAATTTTGCCAACAATTAAAATAGCATAATAGACATTATTACTATTTCGTCTTAAATTGTTTTATCCTTAATTTTGTTTGCATGCTTTTAGTAGATAAACCGTCATCAATTAGGTTGATCAAAATCGAACGTGTCTACACCATCAATCCTCGTTGTCGATCAGTTGTCAGCCGTATTTGACGTCCATTTGCTGAAGGAATGTTTTTTTTTTTCATTTTGGGAATTACATTCAGCTACTTTTTTTTATACTCCTTCCTGCAATCTCTATTGACACTTGGTGTCCAAAGATATATAATCCGAATATAATAAATTAAGGCAATAAAAAAATAGCAGGTAGGTAGGTCGGTGGTCGAGCGGGGCTGGATGAGAAAGTACGATCGGTGGCGAGGGTGGTAGGGCGTGGGTGAGGATTGAATTACAGAGGCAGCGAAGGGGTTTTGACTCATAGTTAACACCGTACTTCCGGAGGAGAGCCAAACACAGGTTTCAAATTACAAACCAACGAGAGATACAATTACAAGCATTTATGCACATATAGGCAAGCGTTAATATTTCATATTCGACAAACAGGAACATAAGAGACCTATGAATATTAAGACTTAATAACATATAAGTAGATACGTCCAATTATGCTGCATTCGCTAATCAGAGGTACGAAAATTGAGCAGAGCTATCGATCTGAATTCATAGCTACAGTACTTCTTTGACGACACCGATGTTTTATTTCGTAACTACTAATTATCAATTAGGGTAGGAGAGAATATTTATAAATATGATTCGGAACCTCTGATATAAAATGTTAAAAACAAATGTTTTAGCATAAAATGTGATTCTCTCTCTCATTCATACACAACATACAAGGTTTTGTAGAGGAGTATGTACTTTAAAATGAGATGGCAAGTTCTTTTAATTTCCATAGACGTCGAAGCTGGTGGCCAGCAATATTTCATAAGTTATAATAATTTAAATGTAAAGGTTTAAAATATCTGCAAGATCTTCCAAGAGATTTCTTTATAGACAACTGATACATATTTTATAAACCAAATTTAATTTTGTCACCAAGATGCTTCCTAAAGGCTGTCTTCTGGGTTCTTGCTGCAGCCCATGTTTTTGAAATATAGTCTGTGAATTGATATTAAAAATCAACTACCCGGATTACACAAAACGAATTTCATTTGCCGATGATTGCATGCAGCTAAGAGCAGTTTTCAATTAGAAGTCATCGGTAATTCAACTCTTCGAAGGGCACAATTTTGATCACGAATTAACAAAATGAAATTCAATCCACAAAAATGTCAGATGTCGCTTGTCCATGGTCAAGTAGAGAAAGGAAAAAGGAACGATAAGTGTCTGAAATACTAAGGAATTATTTTTGATCAAAAACTCACATAGATCAAATAACGGAAAAGTGTGGACAAGTAAAAAAAAAACCGTGTCACAAATACGAAAAGTACACTGGGTTACAACTCATCAAGCAATTCGAACCAAATGTATAAAAGAAAGTGCACATTTTAATTGTCAAGAGTTTAATACATCACACCCAGAGCTGCAAAATAAATAGATATTTTTGTAAAACCGTGTATTGTTAAAAAAAAACTCCATCTTTTATCCATTGGCAGGTTCATATTCCTGAAAGTTCACTATGACCTTTTCTGGATCCTTGTTTAAACGCAGAAGAATGGAAAGTTAGACTGTTAACACAGTAAAAAAAAGACTATTTTATAAAGACCGTATCCGCTGTATGACTACACCTTAGTTTTCCATTGAAATTTGCATACAATGTGTAGGATGAAAAAACGGTTTGCTTATTTAAAACAGATAAATCTAGAACAAAAGACATATGGGTATGTCTGGTAGAGATAAACACTGATGATCAAATTTAACGCACCACTCTATTTAGTTTAAAATTAAATCCATCATCTTTCCACATTAGATACAGGTAATTAGCAGCTATAGTAGTCAAAACGAAAGTAAATGATGTTTTGTTTACTTTTGTACTGATTAATCCCATTTACACAAAAAGTATACATTATGCCCTTCCATTCTGCTAGCCTAAAGATCTCTTTCAGTCAATCTTTTTCCTTCCTTGGTTTGATTTGATATTATCCTTATTCTTAAATCTTGTTCAATAGCTCCAGTCAGGCATTTGAGTGAGTATGACAGTGTCAGGGTCATAACATTATTAGAGGAAGGATACAGCCAGCGCGAAGACGTCCCCAGGAGACTAAGCGAAAATCACTCTCCTATAGGAAGGGTTCAACGGCGCTTCAGAGACAGGGCTTCACACTAGAAGGTGATGAGACAGGGTTGATCTAGAGATAGATCCATCTGTCATCAGACTCTACGAAACCGCGGCATTTCGGAAAATGAGATAAGAAATCTGTGAGGACAAGTCCGAAAAGTTTCGATTTCCTCCAGGGCTGTAAGAAGAAGGCTCTATGAAAATAACCTCAGGGCCCGACACCCGGCTCTTGGACCTCTCCTTACCATAGCTAAGAAAATGTCCAGGATTCAATTCGCACGGAAACACATGGATTGGACATAGAAAGATTGGGGACGAGTTCTCTTTACAGATGAGGTGAAAGTCGTCCTCAAATCTTCAGATGGGTGTAATTTCATATGGAGACGCTCAGAAGAAAGGTACACCCCATGATGTATGGTTGCTCTGGTGGCATTTCACGGTGGGATTGATGTTCTGGGATGGCATTTCCTTGGACACCCCCACTAAATTGGTTGCTGTACGGGAAATATATCTAACTTCACCCAGGTACTTCAACGCATAATCGAAGAACAGGCAGTGTATTTTGCTCCCCACATCGGTGATTCTTTCTAATCGAGGATAATGTCAGGGCCTATATAGCACGTGTTGTGGAATACTTCCTGAATAAAGGGAATTGGAATTTTTCATAAGACAACAGCAACAAAGCACTTTTTTCTTTTTATCTATGTACACCTTAACTACATATACTAAAGCCAATTATAGTAAGACATTTTATTCTTATATTATTAGACTGAGCATTTATCTAAACGTTCAACTATTTCCTTTGAAAAATTGTTCTATTTCATAATTCTTGAAGGCTGTTTTTTTAAAAATATTTTTTATTATTATTAATCTATACAATATTAACCATCTTGACATATCCATTGTCATATCGATTATCAATCTAAAAATAGTACAGCTCACAAACTGTTCTATGATAATGTATATATTTTTTTTATTTGTAGTATTTGTTTACATATTTGTATTCAGTTGGCTCCAGGGCATTATTGCACCTTTTTCTCTTAGTCTGCATTAAATATAAGAATCATTTTATCATAAAATATATATACGTTAATCATAACCACCCTCTGCTGGGTCCCAGGGCAAATGAGACTTGGAGGGCCGCGAGAGAGCTTGAAAGGAAAGGGCTGATAGGACTTGAGCCATTCTTTGGCATAGGGATTCACACTAACAATGAGTACCTCAGACAAATGGACGAAATGAAAATGAGTAAACAGAGAATTCGGCATAATCCATGAACCTTCTGGCAAATTTTTGAAGGAAAGAAACAACAGAAGCAACAAAGGAAGCAAAATTTGGTCAAATAAATTTGGTATAACATGGCACGCGCAAATACTTACAAACTGTGGCGCTACATTAGTCTACAGGAGGAAGTATTTTTTTGAAGTACAACGTTACCGTAGAAGAAGTCCACTGAAACCGGGACTACTAATAAAATTATTGATGAACTAGGACTCGCCAGTGTATGTACTGAAGTACACAACGGGGATTACACGGCACAGTTATTTTGTTATATTGTACACACCTAACATAACATCTCTCTACATATACAACATAAAATAGTTTAGAGGAAAAAATTATTTTTGCTTTATGGTTACACAACGTATACGCAAGAATTGGTTAAAGAATACGTGCAATGCTATTTTATTTCAATTTGCAACTATGCGAATCGTACTATAACCCCGATGCTTTTCACAATTTAACCAGAATTCTTGTAAATTTTTGACAAAAGGCAAACAGACGATAAGCGGGAAGAGGAAATAAGAATGACATATAACAAACTCACCTTCTTCCCTGAGGGTGCAACATCCCAACGAGACTTTCTCTGCTGCGAAGCGCCGTTGTCCAGTAGCATAATTGCAACTTATGGAAATGTCATTTAACCGACTATAACATTAAAAACAGAAAATGTACACTTTGTTTGTTTACTTATACCTATTGTTTTACATAAGACTCAATTAAAGCCACGCTGTAACCTCAACCCATGGTACAAGGTTATAAACAGAGTTGCCTAGCCATTTGATCGGTGTAGGAATGCCCAAATTTCAACCGCCTATTTCAAATTTTTTAAGAAATAAATTTGGTACTTAGGATGTTCCTTTTTTAAAATCATACTTACAAAATAAAGAAATGAAACAAAATACTATTTTTAATTAAACAATTTTATGTTCTTTTCAATTTTTTAGCCAAACTGCTAAACTACCAAACTTACCATGAACCTGATATTCAGAAAAAAAAATCATTTTATAAAATAGCTAAAACCTATACAAAAAAGAAAGGGTAAAAATCAATAATAAATTATTTTAATTTATTTAAAGTGTGATTTTAGTAAGAAATAACGAATTGATTTGGGGGGACAGAACGAAATCTTGAAACGAAAATGTTGCTTTACCCAAAACAGACAGTCGTAATTAAAAAAAAATTTATGAAATTTAAAATTTTGTCTTTCACTTATGTTTTTTATTTAAAAATCGATGTAACGACGATTCTTCCAATCGAATCTCGTATCATTATCGAAGATTGTCTTAAAAGTTAAATTTCGGCAAGGAAAGCCGGACAACTCGGCGTCTGTGTCTTGTTTTCGTTCCTAATATTTTACTTACAAAAAAATAGTATAAACAAAAGTACTAACTCGAGATACAAAGCGAATATAAAGCAGGGACTTTGTCTTTTGCATGGTACTTCGCTGTTATTTCCCTTGAAGTAAGTACAGAGATTAAAATAAGAAGAAAAAAAAAACAGTCTCGGATTTGAAAATATTTTTGTGCGTGAAAGTGAGTTTTGTTTTTCTTGTATAAACTATTAATTATTATTATTCTGTACGTTTAAGTTATTAAAAATGATTTCCGAAATATTTGTTAAAAACTTTTTCTAGTAATATTTAGCTTAGTTTTACCAAGAGGTTATCCGGTTGCCGGTTTCCGGCTAAAGGTAATCTTATCAATACATTTGAAAGTTTCAGTTTTGTTTTCAAAGCAAAATAAAAGTGCATAATTACATTGTATTTTGTAGTCAATAATAGTGAGTTTAATATTTGTATCGTCAAAATGATTGTAGTCGTACTTTTAGATATAGGAGATACAAATTTCATCAGATTTTTTATAATGGTCTACCGTCATATCGGTCAATGAAAAGATAATCTAGAATCAGCATTAACATCGGTTTATAAAATATAACGATATTTTAAAACAAGTTGTAATCATTGTGAAATAATGCTTTTATGTTTTACAGAGTATGAAGAGAAATTCAGATGGTGGTGGACCGAGGGAGAAGAGAGCAAGACCAAACGGCCAAGATGATAGAGGAGCTTTGAGGCTCCTTATACCTTCAAAGGTAGCTGGCTCTATTATAGGAAAGGGTGGAAGGAACATCACGAGCCTCCGAAGTGACTTTAGTGCTCAGGTGCAGGTGCCAGATTGTTCAGGTCCTGAACGTGTTGTAACAATTTCCGGTACTGAACTAGAAACGTATCTTAAGATAGTTGAACGAATTATTCCATCGTTGGAAGACCAGGGAAAGGAAGTCGACCTGCGTCTTTTGTTGCATCAAAGCCTTGCGGGATGTGTGATCGGCAAAGGTGGTTCTAAGGTGAAAGAACTCAGGGAGAAGACTAATGCCAAGATAAAAATATTCGGCACGTGCTGCCCTCGTTCGACTGATCGTGTTGTTTCTATAATTGGAAAGCCAGAAGTCGCTGTCGACGGACTCAGAGAAGTCCTCCTTCTCATCAAAGACACCCCACAGAAAGGCTATGCGGAATCGTATAATCCCGAGTATTTTGAAGACGGCTATGCAGAAGAATACGGTGGATTTGGGCCTGCTCGCGTTTGGGACAGACCTGATTTCAGAATGCGTGAAAGTTCTGAGCAGGTGACTATACCTAAAGATTTGGCAGGTGCGATCATCGGAAAAGGAGGTATGAGGATACGAAGGGTACGCGGTGACTCCGGTGCTGATATAACAATAGATGAACCCCTTCCAGGCTCTAATGACAGGATTATAACAATAAAAGGAACTCAACAGCAGATTCAATTAGCACAGTATCTGCTACAGCAAAGTGTGAGGGAATCCCAACGATATTAGAAATTGAAAATAAAAAATATATATTTTATATATATATATATTTGTGACAGTTTGCATCTATTTTTTAAGTACATATATTTCATAATTTTTAAAATACAATAAATTCACTTGATAAAAGTAGGTTCCCCCCTCAAAGTAGGTATGTATATTTAAATATAAATTTATACATTCAGCTGTGTAACTTCTTTCAGTCCTTTGAGTTTTATACAATATACATTTAATATTTATTTATTTTATAACTTAAGCTTGTTTGTGAATATGTTAATCTCTTAGATGAATACCTCCTATCTCATGAATACCTCAGAAAAGTATCCAATGCCACAATATAATGATAAAATGTCTTTCTAAATTCTGTACATATTTGGTATTGTTGCAAATCAATAAGTGTTTAAATACATTATTTATTAAATATGTATTGTTTTTAAAAAGGGTGGACACTAGTTTTTCATTGTGTATTAATAGTTTTTATTTAGAAAATTATAGTTTGTTACAAATTTTGTTTTAAACTGATATTAAGTTTTTATAAACTTGCCTTTTTCGTGTGGTGATTTAAACGTTTAAATACATTTTTTTTTTAAATATGTATTTATGTATTGTTTTTTAAAAAGGGTGGACATTAGTTTTTCATTGTGTATTAATATACAATAGTTTTTATGTAGAAAATTATAGCTTGTTACAAATTTTGTTTTAAACTTATATTAAGTTATTATAGACTTGCCTTTCTCGTGTGGTGTTGGATTAATAATAATTAGTATGTACATTACTACAATCTCAGCATGACTACAAAAAAGAAAACGTATTCAGTAAATCACTGCTAACAATCAAAACAACTGAATAATTAAAAGTCATAATCAGAAACAGGATTTTTATGCAGTAAAAATTGCCAAAATATGCATTGAAAGCCCTGAAATATGCATATATATATAAAATAAATATAAAATTGCATATTTGAAGGATTTTTATGTAAAATTGCCTTTATTGCGCAATCCTTCAAATATGCAATTTTATGCGATATTCATCAAATATGCTTTATAAAATTTAACCCACAGCTAACTAGATACTTGATTCAGATAGATAATTGATTTCATTGGTCGTATGTGGTGGCAAACAAAATGTGAAACTGCATAAAAATCCGGTTGTCATAACAGATTTTACAAGGTTTCCTTACAAACAAATGTTCTACACAAACCTACCTCACATTAGAAAGATTTTTCAGTATAATAATTATATGTGAAAATGATATTGCCTGCTATCCCGAAATGCCAATAAAAACCAAAACTATAAAAATGAAACAATGCCTTGTAGTTTGACAAAAAAATAATAAAAAAATTCCCTTACTAAACCATCTACAATTCCCATGCAATTAATTCCAACTATATTAACATGAATTGAAACTCTGCTTATCAAATTTTTCTTCAACTATGATTACTGATCATGATTAACCTGATTAGCAGCAGACAAAAGGTATCATAAATGGTATTAAAATCATCCAACATGTAGACACCTTCAAGACAAAAAAATTATTTTGTCGTTTATTTCAAACTATCTATGAGTTGAATGAACTATGACTATGAAATGTTGAATAACTATGAAAAGTTAAAATAAGCATGTTGAGGTATTACAAAACTTGAAACTTACATGAGTTGATAATTTGTTATAAAAATTCAGAAAAGTACTCGCCTCTCCTCAAATCATTTCTATTATAGTTATTTTAATGTAAACCAAATCATACGAGATTAGAAATTCATGTGTTTTAATAAAAATGATTTTGAAAGAAAAATGACTAGAAAATCGAAAAGTGATAGATAAAAATTGAACTCACAATTATTCTATCACTATGATTTTCCAGTGTATTAGGGAATTTTCTTCCAAACCATCATAATTAAGTAAATTTTATTAAAACTCACAAATTTCTGATCTCATTTAATTTGTTTTACAATAAAATAAGTATGATGTAATTAATATAATAATAAAAATGCTTATAGTTTGAAATAAACAAAAAACAAGAGGGTCTGGTTTTTGTTGCCTTTGAATATATGTAATATATATGTTGTAGGTGTCATTCCTAATATTGTTCTCCCTCCCAAGAGACCTAATTATTTATTTCTGTATTTTTAATTATGATTCCTTGTCTAGAGCTTGACGAGAGTACATCATTAAATTAGGTTAAACTTATTCTTGTAACTTCAAATAAAGTTTTTTTAAAAAGGAATCCGCAGTTGAAGTTATTTAACTGGCGCAGTCAGTAGGATGGCTAAGGATTTCAAGAGGACATTGAAGCAATTGGAGAAGGACATGGTATAACTTGAAGTAATACTGTAAATCCAGAAGAATTTATTATTTTTCGATTTTTTTTTTTTTTAATTTTCAAATATACACAAACATTTACTTAAAACTTAAGTATAAAACATATGTGTTTGTTAAACTGAGTAAAATAACAAAAATAAACATATAATAATAATATAATAAAAATGTAATAACAAAAACAACATAAAACTAGTAACAATATAATTTTAAAAAAATTGTTATATAAATAATATAAAATGAATAAAAATTGTAAAATTGCATCGAATAGGATTCAAGAGCAAAATTTTGGTTTAAATCAAATTCCTACTTTTGATAGTAATCCAAACCATCTAAATAGTTTCATTTCTGATGGGAACGAAATTCAAGTTTTTTTGGTACACTAAACCCTGAATTAACCGAATATGAAAAATCAGTTGCCTTTTTAGGTATAAAATAGAAATTAATAAGTAAGACTAGGGAACAGACAAAAAAGCAAAATTTAACACATGGCACGACATAAAAACTCATTTACTGAATAGTTTCGAACAGACATCTAACTTAGAGATGATAATGAATGAAATCTCAAATTTACAAACAAAAAATCAAGTTATTCGAAGAGACGCCAGACAGATTTTTTGAATTTAAAGGCACACTTGGACTGGAAAATTACAATGACCAACAGCAAGAAGCGGTCAGCGAAGTAGTCGAAAAATGGGTGGTTCACAACTTTATAGGGAAACTGAGCGAACCATTCAAAAGTTATTTAGCAAATAGAAATCCGAAAACTTTGCCTGAAGTCGGAAGTCTCCTTCACAACGACTATCAGTACATGAAACCAAGTAATTTCACAACATTGAATAACACGGCCTCAATCTTTAATAAATCACCAGGTAATCAATGATTTTTAAACTACGGGCAGACATCTCAATTTAAACATTTTACTAAAGAAACAGTAAATTCCCAACAGACTCATCATCAACAAAATATGTTTGCATCCAAAAAACATTCGCAATGGGCAAAACATTCACCCAACTCCTATGAGCGTTTCCACACGGGATATAACAAAACCCAATATTAAATCACAACTTTAATAACCTTTTGAACAAAATATATATAAATTTGAAGAGTTAAATAATGTTGCAACTCTGCAGCTGCAGAAAATTTAGAAGGCAATGAGTCTCAAAATTGCCTTGAATATGATTCCACAGAGGATAATTTACAAAAGCTGCATGCCCACATAGACTTCAAAACAAACACACTTAGCACTACTCGTCAGAAAATTAAAATTCTCCATTACCAAGTGCCTAAATCAAACCATAACATAATGAACAGGAATTCAGAACAAATGTTCCAAATTCCCATGCAAAATGTACAGTCTGACAAAACGATAATCCCACGCAGAAAATTAAGAAACTTACAAATATCAAAATCTCTTATTAATGCGAGTAATTCAAAAGCAAAGGTAAAAATGAGACCACGATTTAAAAGAAGAAAAAAAATAAAAACTTTTTTAAAGTTGGCCTCAATAGAAAAATCTCATTATAATACGAAACCAAATATTCATTTATCTAATATAAAATGTCCAAGGAAGTTGCTTTATCAATTTAACAATAAAAACAATGATTATTTACACCACCCTCGTGGTGCTCAAACTCAGCTTCACCTACGAGATAAAAGATGTAATGCACAATAATGGAATTCTGCCGATTAGCTTAGGAACAGCAAAATTGCAAACCTTGGAACACACTATGATCCATTATTATGACTTAAAAGAATGAACTTCTGAAATAGACATTTTAATTAACCAATATCTCAAAATCACAAAACACGAAAAAAATTCAACAAAACTATTCTAGAAGAAACACTACCTACACTCGTAACTTAATAAATTATTCCAAATCACTCATCGACGAAAAAATTAACCATATAAGTGCACACAGGAAACTTAGACAATACAGACCAGGAAAACTTCAACAAACATATTAATCAAATTAAAGATAACCAAATAAATATTGAAAATCAAATTCAAATCCTATATGTACTGCTCTTGAATACTCTTCAGTATATTGAAAATTCCTTAACATTTTCTAAATTACAAATCATGCACCCAAGTATAATGAGTAGTCATAATTTATTTCAAGAATTAAAACGTTTAGAACAGTATTTAAAACTTCAACTCGTACTGAAAGTAAAATTTGAAAATGTATTAAATTTTAAAGTATGTTAAGAATGTATTGTACGATCGATAATGATCATAGGATAACATATTTCCTTCAACTACCCCTATTTCTGAGTAAATTTTTGAATTATTTAGCTTTCACCCCATTACCACAAAATATAAAAATGAATTTGTTACAATAATATCAGATACAAATTACGCGATAAAATCAAAAAATAATAAAATTGTAACTCTTAATGGAGACTGTGTAAAGTCCAAGATATACCAATGTTCAAAAAGATTAATATATCCACTCATTAAGATTCCTGTACAGAACTCCTGTTGACTGGAAACACTACACTTTGCAAATTCAGTAAACTCACATTCCACGATAATCAACTAATCTTTATTCCGGAAATCAACCAATTTCTGGCAATATTCACAACCCCTGATAAAATCAAGGTACAACATAATTTAATCGAAACTAAAACCGTGGAAGGAATATTTCTCATTAAAGCTAACAATGAAGAAATGATGTACAAAAACGAGTCGTTAATCTTCAAATCATTCACTTATGGAAAACCCACCTTGATACAAAACATCAACCTATCAATTTCACCGAAGCAGTCTAAAGGGATTACCATAAAACTATGGAACTTCAACCTAAAGAAGATTTCGCCAAATATCTTTAACTCAATAAATATGTCCACCAATATCTACCTATCTTACCATATGGATATGCATACTGTATTTTATATTCATTGTAATCATCATATGTTGTGTAATTAGCTATAAGAAATTAGAAAGATATGTACTCTCAAATTTTATGAAAAATATTGTTGATATAGAAAATGAAGTAAGTTTAGAACCCCAGGGTTCATCTATGAGGGGAGGAGTTATGTGAAATTATCTGTTTACAACGCTTAGTGCAGGTGTCATTCCTAGTATTGTAGTCAACACCTTCTCCCTCCCAAGAGACCTAATTATTTATTTCTGTATTTTTAATTACGATTCCTTGTCTAGAGCGTGCGAAGAGTATATCGTTAAATTAGGTTAAACTTGTTCTTGTAACTTCAAATGAAGTTTTTTAAAAAAAGAATCCGCATTTGAAGTTATTATATATATATATATACTTCTATGTATATAAACTAAAGTATGTATATATACTTCTATGTAAGTATAAACTTTAATGTGGAGGACTAGGCGAGTGGTTAAGGCGATAGACTCTCAGATAGTAGATATTGCAGATGTGGGTTTAGTTTCCATCATTGCTTCTGAATTTTTGACAGTGTAAGGTCTGGGGAGGGACTCAGGTGATCCAGCAGATCTGTTTAATCATAGAGTAGTTGAAAGCCAAACAGATTGGGTGTTATTCTCTTTATCCTCAATCATTTGCCTTTTAAGGAGTTTTTCAAATAATTTATAAAACTGGCAGTAGACATTTTGGCCTGCATGATCTGAGTTCGTGTTGCAGTTTTTTGGTTTAGAGACCATGATGATTAATAGGAAAAACGAGTTTACACTAATCAATTATTGTAAACAGTGATAAGATCAGCCAGAGGTTGAGCTACTGTTGTAATATGCATGCTATTTTCTATTGCTGGTCTTAATTTGCGTAACGTTTTTCCTTGTGATGTGATTTTGTTAGGAACCTGACTCCGATGAAGATCAAGAATCCATCAAGTCTTTATAAGTCCATCATATGTCAAAAATTAAGTTGCAAAATCACACAAATATAATTACTTCATGGCCCACAATTGCCCTGTGGCAAATAATATGGCTCCGCAACCTCTTAAATGATTATTCCAGAGTGGCTACTTATTTTTTATTTTTTTTTATTTTATTTATTTATTTACGGATCGAAATCCACTATAAAAAAGACATTTTACAATAACAAAAAATATAAATAATATATGTAAAAATACAAATAATATATATAAAAAGAATAAGGACGTATATCCATGGTAATAATATAAATGGTAAATATAAATGATAAATATAAAAATACAATTAAAGAGTAAAAANTTAGAAAAATCAGTATACACTGAGTCTACTTGGTGTCCAGAGTTTATTGCATCTAAGATGTAATTTTGAAATGTGAGCAGGTTAGTAACAGTTGATCTATTAGAGCAGAAACCATGTTGCTGAGGTATAATAAAATATTTACTGTCATTTTTAAGTTTATTACAAATAATAGAATCAAATATCTTGGAGAACATGGATTGAATAGATATTGGTCTGTAATTGAAAACATTAGATCTATCGCCAGCTTTATGTAGAGGAATGACAAAAGTGCTTTTCCAAGCATTGGGGAAAATACCTGTTTTTAACGACTGGTTCAGAATATAGTGTAAAGGAGCAGTAAGAGCCGCAGAACACTTTTTAATTAATATAGGGGGTATGCAATCGGGACCAGAAGAATTTTTCACATTGAGTAATGAGATAGAATTTAGTATTTCATTGTGTGAGATATAGTAATTAGAGGTAGTGTGAGAAGATGGCATAAGGAGAGAGGTTGTTTCAGGTAGGGAAGTGGGAAGATCAGAACTATGGTCATAGACTTGGGAGAAATATTTAGCAAAGAGATTAGCAATGTCATGGCCATTAGATGAAGATTCATTTCCTAAACGCATGAAAGAGGGCATGGCCTTAGAAGTGTTGACAGAATTCACATAATTCCAAAACTTTTTAGTATTAGATTGGATTGAGTTTTCTGTATCAAAAAGATAATTCTTATAGCAAATATTCGACAGTGTTTTACATTGGACTCTAAGAGATGAAAATTTTGAATAATAATAATTATCAAGAGTTTGCTTGTACAATGAATGATACATCTTTTTTTGCTTGACTTTTTCAATAAGTTCTAGACAAAACCATTTCGGATATGGGTAATTATTGCCAGTTTTAGTTTTAGGAACATACATTTCTATAGCTATTGAAAGAACTTGATAAAAATAATTTAAACACTCGTTTACATCTGTAATACTAAATAGAATATCCCAACGGAAGTGGGAAAGATAATTTTGCATGGCATCATAGTCACCCTTGAAAAAATTGTATTCAACATTAGAGAATTTTAAGAAAGATTTACTAAGTTTATAAGGTAACTACCTCTAAATGCCGATTAATGTCTCAAGACAAAATTAAGTGTAATCTGCTGGTTGTGTATAATACTCATAGTTCTTCTGCAAAAAAACAGAGGAGATATTGATATACCTACTAACAAACTGTGGTGCCACACTTGCATGCAAGAGGTTGTGTTTTGGGATGTACAATGTAACCATAGAAGAGATTCAACCACTGAAACTGGGCCCAATAATCGAATGTCTTGATGAGTTAGGTCTTATTGGCATGCTGTAAGAATGAGGGGTACGATAGCTCTTAAAGGACCAAGTATAATATAATACACTCTCTGATCAATACACCTACATCTACCATATATGCCTAATTTATGTAATTTCTGAAGTAGAATCGTATGATCAACACTATCAAAAGTCAAGGTAAGTACAATCAACTTGTAGTCCTTAGGAAAAAGATTGTAATGTATATTCTTGAAATATTAGTAAAATGGTTATTGTAGATCTTTGCAAATGAAAACTATGTATATTATGCCATGTATTTTTACAAGCCTATTGTAGCATTATAATTTTATTAGAAAATCCAAAATCTCTTACAACTTAGAAACTTCTCTAACACCTGCTTTCCTGTTGATTTTTTTTACCTTGACTGCAGATGAACTGTGACGTTTGTGTATGTGAAAGGCAGACGATAAAATAGAGTAAAACTAATTGATGTAATAATTAATTTCAATGAAATCTTATGATGAACAATAATTGTTGGTAACAAAAGTGACTTTTTGATACCCGAAAAGTTGTGTTGGCTAACCTTCATACATAAAGCGCGCTGTAAAGCTGAAGGTGGGATTGTCTTGTAACAGCAGTACAGCACTCTAATCTAACGTCTCTCTGTTCGACTTTTGTTCCTAGTTCAGTGTTCAGTCATTGCTGTCTTTCCGCCAGTCGAGAAAGAAGACTTTTCGAAAAAGGAATCTGATCGTGCCGTCATTTTTTGAGGAGCAGTCGACGTCTCGTTAAACGTTAAAATGGAAGTGAACGACGACAATCTGAGGACCCTGTCCAACTATCTTATTCAGACGTTGGACCCCAATCCTGCCGTGCGCCGGCCCGGTGAGTTTTATTACGTTTTATAATTGATAAAATAATATTTATTCCCCCTGTTTAAACAACGTCTTCTTCTCAGCCGAGAGGTTTTTGGAGAGCGTCGAATTGAACAGGAATTATCCCGTTTTGCTTCTGAGGCTCATAGACTCGAAAGAAGTCGATCCCACTGTTCGTATGGCTGGAAGCGTCGTTTTGAAAAACTACATCAAGCGAAACTGGCCGACGGTAAGTCAACAGTATAACAGAAATTTGTTCTACATATTACATGGAACAATTATATTTATTTTTGTTTTTAAAGACATTAAAAGGGAAGTCAAAACATATTTATCGAAATAATCTCGTTTTTATTACAGCAATCTTTGCTGTATACGTCCTAGGCTGGATCTGCACTGGAAGCGTATTTGCACGACACTAGTGACAACTGCAATAAGAAACTAGGCCTGGTTCCCATGGAGGCAATTAGTATGAGATACAAAAAGTATCCTGACGACTAGATTCATTCATATCCCCTCCATCCCATCTCGATCCTCTCCAAAGGAGTTTGATCATGTCATATTTTTATAAAGGTGGCTCTAGACTTGCGCTGATTGCTGTCGAATATTTGCCAAATCTCGAGCTGTTTGTCTTGGTGTTTGCCAAATAGTGTTTCTTTGTATACTCATATGTGGGGTTTGTACAACCACCTAGTTGGTGCGGAAACAGCGTATACGTATTTACCAAATGCTATCCAAGTCCTCTACTTCTACCAGTCGTGATGGACAACAGTGATACTGTCATTGCTGCAGCCGTGATTACTGTTTTGTGTAGTGGCTTCAAACTCAAGTCACATAGTACTGTTGCCCAACTTACTTTTGATCCGTTTCCACGCATAGAAAACCTTCTTCCGATTTTGGTGATTTGGAAGAGAAGTGTTCCAAATTATTAGTTCAGTCATGTTGTCCCAAAGTATGGGATCTATTTGAACTATTGAAATAAGTTTGTTAATGTCAAAAGTGTCACTTCTATCTATTTTTTAAAAGTTTAAAAAGGAGGCATATGAAAACAAGTGTCAGACAGAGCAATATGCTCGATTCAGAATGAACTGCGGAAATGACATGTTGAGCAATGTTCTGTCAGGCATCACAAGGGACTAAAAATCGGTATCTTTGAGTTCGGTTATTTCATGAACGTTTGTGTACTTTGAAGTGGACAAGGAAACTGACATTTAGGCGAGCATGGAATATTGTTGCTCGGCAAGTAACAGCACCTGTACCCGGGGGATTCGGGATTCGTTGAATCTTTGCTTAGCATTTGGTGACTTCCACATGTGCCAGTTGCCTTCAAGTCTTCCCATTTGAATGAAGGAGTTTGTCCCTACAATACCACCGTCACCTTGATACCGATTGCCTTTGTATGAACGAGCCTTACAGGTGACAAGTGGTAGAAATTCCAACAGTAGAAATACTAGGAACCGACTTTTCACACCCCCCTGTCTTACGCTAAACTCCTATCGATGGAGGTGGACTCATCGCGCAATCACATTACTTGGGAGATTCCACGCTCATTGCTTGATCATTTTTTGTGCGAAACACTTCCAGCATAGAACCAGTCCTAGGCTTATCTCAAAATTGATGTAATTTGTAAATTTAAGAATAAAGCGAAAATATTTTTTCTATTATTTTCTTCCCCGAGTTATTATGGGGGCTTTCATGTAGGTCCAGTCAAAGATCATATCTATCTCAAGTGTTTTCTGGCCTGTACAGCATCCCTATAGTGTAATGTTTACTGATCAATAATTCTTACAGGACTCTTGATTACGATTACGTCCAATTGGTATCAAGCTTAAATTTGCTGTAATTTTTCTTCATGTTCTATTCTGAACATTTTCTGAAGTTAGCATCTTCTATAGTTATTATTTTAATTGTCCCATTAGTTCCTGTTTTGTGTGCAAATAATGGACATAATTTCTGATTTTGATTTAACATTAATAACCATTATGAAATAGATGTTTATTTTCTTAATATAGAGAATAATTTTTTATTGATTTTATGCAGGAGGAAGATGCACAGGATAAGATTGATGGAAATGATCGAGAGACAGTAAAAAAAGTGATAGTTCAGTCAATGGTAGTAGCTCCACCATCAATCCAGAAGCAACTGTCAGATGCAATTTATACAATCGGAAAATCTGATTTTCCCATTAAATGGCCCGATCTGGTCCCAAATATGGTTTCACAATTCTCCACGGGTGACTTCAACGTCATAAGCGGTGTCCTGACAACAGCACACTCCATCTTCAAACGATATCGATACGAATTCAAGTCGCAAAGCTTATGGGAAGAGATCAAATTTGTACTTGACACATTTGCAGATCCATTAACCAAACTTATGAGCGTACTCATGAAAGCATTTTCAACTGTCGACGATGCTGCAGTACTGAATATCGCATCCTGCCTTCTCCTAGTGAATAAGATTTTCTATTCTCTTAATTTTCAAGATCTACCAGAGTATTTCGAGGACAATGCACAAACGTGGATGGAGTGTTTTCAAGTGCTTTTACGTCTTCAGGATAAACGTCTCGAATCAGATTCAGATTCTGAGCCTGGCTTAATTGAATCGGTCAAGACCCAAGTGTGTGACAACATCTCTCTGTACGCTCAGAAGTATGATGAAGAATTTCGTCCCTTTCTACCCGGTTTTGTAACAGATATTTGGAATTTACTCATCAACACAAGTTCACAAGTGAAAAATGATATTGTAAGTTGACCAAAATTTAATACACAACAATATAAAACAGGAAAATAAAGTAGATAGTAGCATAATAAGACAATGCAATTATACAAAAATTTAAAATAATATGTACATACATACTATAAAGGCTCCTTGACCCTCATCGGTTGGATGTGAATGTCTCCTGTATTATAGGAATTACTTTACATAATTTTTTATTTACTTGATTACATTAAATTAAATGGTTATTTATATATTGTTTAGCTTGTCAGCAAGGCGCTTAAATTCTTATCAACAGTTGCTGAACGAGACATGTACAAGAATTTATTCGAAGAGGCTTCAGTCCTTTCAGACATTCTAACCAAGGTCATCATTCCAAACCTACAATTCCGAGAAGAAGATCTTGAGCTTTTCGAAGACAATCCTGATGAGTATATCCGAAGGGAGGTGGAAGGCCTCGATTCTGAAACAAGGCGAAGATCAGCATGCGATCTTGTCAAAGTCCTTGCAGGCCACTTTGGTGAGCAGGTGTCCAGTGTTTTCTCGCAATTTGTGCAAGTCGCATTGAACGACTACAGAACGGATCAAGGACGTTGGATGCAGCTGGACCTTGCTCTCTACATTGTCACATGTCTTGCCGAGCGAGGTTCAACCACTAAACATGGAATCACCAAGACATGCGATCTTGTTCCTATCCCTGAGTTTGCAGCTGCTAACGTTTTTCCTGAACTCGCCAAAGAAGGTATTTTAGCTATTTTCCTCATTGCTAGTTTGTTGTATATAACACTGTCTTAATTTTCAGTAAACCTTCATCCTGTGATTAAAGCAGATTGTATAAAGTATATAATAAAATTTAGAAGTATCCTCCCGAAAGAGATGCTTCTAGGAGTATTGCCAGACCTCATTAGACATCTAAGTGCGGTGAATCCAGTTGTTCATTCCTTTGCAGCTTGTGCCATTGAAAAGCTTCTCATTATCAGGCAGAACAATGAACTTATGTAAGTGCTTTTTTAATAATTCTTAAACTTATTCAATTAAACAAATCAAATTATTATTTACTAGTCGAGCCAAGTCCTTATGCATTAGTTAAATCAAATAGTCAAATTATTATTTAATAATTGTTGGCAGATTGACCGAGCAAGTTTTAGCCCCTCTTTCAGGGGATCTTCTTAAAGGACTGTTCGGAGTTTTGACGTCTAAATCTGAAGAAAACGATTATGCAATGAAAGGTTAGATGATTTTCATCTCTGGATATTGTTTTGTATATGTATTTTATGTATTTATTTTTAATATTAAAATTGTTTCCAGCTATCATGAGAAGCTTTGCAACACTTCAGGATTCTTTGCTTCCATTCTTGAGTGAACTGCTACCAGTGCTTACATTAAAATTGAGAGTCGTCGCAAAAAATCCTATTAAGCCGCATTTCAACCATTTCCTCTTTGAGACTATTTCAATTTCTATAAAGTGAATTGATATTAAATTTAGTTATAATTTGTTAGAAGCTATAATCTTTTTTAATTTTTATTGAAGGGTTGTCTGTCAGAAGAACTCTAGTGCAGTGAGCTTGTTTGAAGAAGCCCTTTTCCCCACATTTGAAGTTATTCTACGTGAAGATATACAAGGTTAGTGTGCTATGTAAAGATTGGATTTCCATGTTATCCTGTTATTCCCTAACTTAGAATGCAATGAAACTAAGACAAAATTTGAATCATGAAAATTTCTGACACTCCTTATTTTTATTTTGCACACTTTGTCATTATTTTATGACATACATTTTAACATTTTATGGCATAAAATTGAATTTTTTCTTTCAAATTTGTTTATTGTTATCTTTTTTTGCGTGTTTATTATTATTATATTTTTTATGCATGAAAATAACTTGTAAATAATATGAACAGTTAAACAGTATTGAATAAACAAGTTGAGGGTAAAGTCATTGTGCTGTGCCTAAGTTTTCACTCCCTATGGTAAAATTATCCAAGAAATTGTTATATGTGTGACATCTATTCTGTTTCATTAGTTACGTATTTTTCATTCAAAGTATTTTGTTGGCATCGGAGCAGGGCAGACTCATATTTTAAAAATATAATAATAATAATAATAATGCGTAAATATTTATGTAAACACTGATGAAATAACAGATGCACGAAATCTGTACCCTCATTGCAGGTATTTTGCTTCCAGAAATAGAGTCAACATGGTACTTAATATATTCACTTAAAATATTCGTTATAGCCATCATTCTGGACCATCACACTAAACCCTTCCCCATATATGGATGTCCTGAATGTCGCACCTTTTCTTAATACCCTGCTTCAAAGCTTGTTATTGGATGTTAAGGATATTTTTGGAATAAGATTGGTATCACAGGCCTTTACTCTTTCGTATCGCTTTTGCAACTTTACTGTGAAGTTAAATTCACTAATTTCGTGGTCCGCTTGACCAATTAATACATTACAATTAATTAAGGTTTTTAGTTGAGATGAAAAAAAGTTAATGGCACGAGAGGTATTCGAACCCACGACCTTCGGCTAGAGACGCCGCTGCTCTACCACCTGAGCTATCGTGACCTTTATCCACTCGGACATCAACTCCCCATCTAAACCTCGAGTAGATCGAGGTCACGATAGCTCAGGTGGTAGAGCAGCAGCGTATCTAGCCGAAGGTTGTGGGTTCGAATCCCTCTTGTGCCATTAACTTTTTTTCATCTCAACTAAAAACCTTAATTAATTTTACTGTGAAGATTGTTTTTTGATTTGACCTTTGGAATTTTTTAATGATTTTTTGAAAAAACAATTTTTATAATGCAAACTTTTGCCATCTTGGGAGTCTTTAAAAATTAGTAACATAATGAAAATGTTACTATCATATAGAACTACTAGAAACCAATTCTGAGACCATATCAGGGTATTTATTAACGGCATGGAGTAGCTTTTTTGGTGAAAAATCCTATCAAGATCAGGTGGTTTTTTTATGCTTCTAGATTCATATTTCCTGCATTGCACCTGGCTATGAGTTGCAGGAAAAAACAAAATTAAGAAAACATTTACATAAATAACTAAACAGTTGTTCATAAATTAGTTAGCGACAGAAAAAATATTTCTAAAGGACCCCTCAAGGGTGGATAGCATAGTGTAAAGATGTCGTGACAGGCCCCTTACTTTCAAAAGCTGTAATAAAATATTTTTAAAAAACCTGGTGGGGAACTTAATTTTATTCTGATAATTTTTATAAATTTAAAAAATTTAAAGAAGACACATTGTCTGTAACAAAGATGAAAGAAATTTTAAAGGATAAATCGCTTAAATTTGAATTAGCATTTAGGAGTTCACATTTTGGAGCAATGCTGAAAACTCTAAAAAGTTTTGCAAGAAAAAAAATCTTTTTTAATGCTTAATTATGTAATAACAAAAAAAGTATAATTAAGTTTAAAACAATAAACCAAAAATATTGGTACTTGAAGAATTTAATCCTGTTTTTTGGAAAAAAAACCTCTTAAGGTTTGTTCCATTACGTTACAAGCGTGGTGTGACTGGCAGTCAGTGACATGTGCAGATCTTTCCCAGGTCTTGCACTTTCATCAAATCACGAAGTTCTTATTGGATTTATATGTGAAATAAAATCTATAATACAAATGTATTTACATTTTAAAAACAAATATGGGAGTAAAAAAATTTGAAAAATTAAAGTTTTTTTTAAAATTTTCTAATTAGTACTAATTTCCAATGTACTTACACTTGGATTTTTTTTTTGGAACACTGGTACTCTGGAAGTCCATATAATCATGTAGCGATGTAGCGGAAATATGTAAAAAAATATATATCTATGTATGCAATACCCTCTAACAAGTGTAGATGTAGAGCTCTTTTGAAATGCATTCTGGTAGCAGAAACCTTTGGGATGGTGAGCCACAATGAAAAAATTGTTTTTGAACTTTATTGTTTGGAATGGTAGATATGCTCCTGTAGCGAATGCGGTTGCTTTGTCATCTCAGTCCTGGCCCATGTGGACCCCTTTTCACCATCTCTCAACATTTGATGTCTCTCGTCTTCGCCCTCTTCCGACTCAGTTCAGCTTCTTAGCTTATTTTCTCTGATTTCTGCCACACACCCAGCTCTTTCCTCATTTTAAGGCCCCGTTTCCACTTTTTTGAAAATTCATCCACCGCCTCTCATTCGGGATCCAGCACTCACCTTAGCCAACCTAGACAATTCCTTTGCTAAGAAGGATAGCAAAAGAAGTTTGCTGCTAAGAAAAAGAAGTTTGCTGCTAAGAAGGATAGCAAAAGAAGTTTGCTGCTAAGAAAGATAGCAAAAGAAGTTTGCTGCTAAGAAGGATAGCAAAAGAAGTTTGCTGCTAAGAAGGATAGCAAAAGAAGTTTGCGAGAGTCAATGAAATTGCGGGGAAAAACTCAGAGTAGAGGATGGAAAATGTGAAAAAGGAAAAACTGCTACCTCCCAGATCGGCAATCAAGAGGTTATTGGACAATGAAACACCTTACAAGATGAAGATAAACAGAGGTAGTTTGAAGAAAAGAAGAAGGATTATAGCAGACTTAAAAGACAGTTTCCTTACTTTATCCGAGTATGACAACATGGATGAAAGAAGTTCTGGTAGGGAAGATGAGGTAGGAGTAAAGGAGAACGAAGAGGGAGAGCTAGAAAGAAAAACGGACGAGAGTCATTCCGAATTTGGTCGCAATTCACACCGAATCAAGCTCTTGGAGGGAGCTTTGAGGACTCTTGCATCAAAACCACAACAACAAATACATACTTTATTGTTTTAATTTTTGCACTGTTTAAAGTTGTTTATTGCATGTTTTGTATTTCATAAATGTGTATTATGTTTTAAAAATATCTATAATTGTTTAGTTATAATTATACACAATGTTTAAGACAAGAATTAATTCTATTTTAAATGGTATTTTTTATCTTTATTATATTTTACACATTTTGAAAGTCTTTATTGCATGAAACTTTGTTCTTTACAAATATATAATATAATGTAAAAAATGATGACATTGATTTATTTATATTTTGCAGAGTTTGTTCCTTATATAATGCAGGTTCTTTCAATGATGCTCGAGATCCACAATGAAATTCCCGGTCCCTACCTGGGCCTGTATTCTTGCCTTTTGGCCCCCGCCTTATGGGAACGCCCCGGCAATGTAAAAGGCCTTGTACGCCTATTTAAGAGCTACATCAGGAAGTCAACCCCAGCGCTTTATGAGTCTCATCTCAAATTACCCGGCATACTTGGTGTTTTCCAAAAGCTGATATCGACTAGAGCAAATGATCATGAAGGATTTTTTCTTCTCCAGTGTCTCTTCACTTACTGTCCTAGGTTGATATCAAAACTAGTCTTTAAAATTGTTCGTACAATCTAAAATTATTTATTTTGTTTAGGAACCTTCTCGAGCCATTTATTAAGCAGATATTCGTTCTATTATTCCAGAGGCTAATGTCTAGCAAAACGACTAAATTCGTTTGCTGCCTCTTAGTTTTCTTTTGTTTTTACACACTTCGATTCTCAAGCACAGAGTTTATCGACCTAGTAGATTCTATTCAACCTCGGTACATCAAAATCTATCAATAAATAATTCAATAATGATAGTAATAATAAAGTATTAATTAAGTTTGGTTTTTAAAGGATGTTTGAGATGATACTGGAAAAACTGTTTGTCCCGTATGCACAGAAGATTACCGGAAAGACAGAAAGGCGCACTGCTGCACTCGGCATGGGAAAAATGCTCGTGGAAAATAAAAGGCTTCGAGAAGGGGATTATTCTCAACAGTGGTAAATTACTTTACCTTCATTTATTGAAAAGTTGAATACATTTTATTTATTTTTTAAACTAACTTCTTTATTTGGAACTTTTATACTTACATCATTAAAAAAATAATATGTTGTATTATTGTTTTAGGCAGCAACTTCTCAAAGTCCTCACAGATTTGATGGAGAACCCAGTAGATGAAACAGTCTCTGTCGAGGACCATTACGTCGACGTAGAAGATTTCCAGGGCTACGAGGCCACTCACAACGAACTCGTATTCATTGGACAAGTTAAGGAAGATCCCCTAAAAGGTAAGAATATGCATGCTAAAAGCATATATTATATGTATAATTTTTTTTGTCTTATAGGAATGGTAGATCCTAACTTGTACCTTCAGCTAGGAGGGTCCCTTACCACAAACCAAATGGAAATACTGAAGAACTGCTTTGCTCATTCATAACTTTTTAAAATATATTTATATATATAAGAAGTTTTATACAATTTTTCTACAATTAAAACTATAAAAACCCGGTCAGAAACATTGTAACTACTTTTTAAGCTTGTTAATGTATATATATATAATTGTTAAGTTATTGTAAGGTTCTCCTTTCTCTCGAATTAAAAAAAAAAAATTGTGTTATTGAAATTGTAGAATAAAACTTTTAATTTACTTTTTTTTAAAGATGAATTACCATACTATAAAACTCAAAGTTATTAATGAGTATTATTTTTAAATTAATACTTATTACAAATAATAAATATCAATTTACAAATTAATACTTAAATTGTACATTACTTTCAACTTTGTTGAATTGAAAAAGCTAAAGGAAAGTAATTCCTGACATACAAGAGGAGTTAACATACAACTACCCGTTGGGTGACGCAGACGAGGGATCAAACCATTTTACAAACTATAATTAATTTAAAAATCATGGGCTCTGCCAGAATTAGGATCCAGCACCATAGCATGGCAAATACAAGTTGGATGCCCAAACTATTCAGACACTGCGGATTGTAATTGTAATGTGTGTTGCTCAAGTTTGGGTATTGGGGAGCGAGTAACACAGCCACTGGCTCTGTCAACATCCATTATTCAACATGTTACTCTTCATTGGACAGTACTAAATGGATGTGGGTCCAGTTGTTCTGCCAAGTAAGTTGGCAATAAGATAAACCATCGTCCTACTGCCCTAAACTAACATCCTACATTCTAAAAATGTAAAATAATGATTATGGCGCAGTAAGATGCCTCTTCAGGTTCTCTGCCCAATTTTATTTTCCAATTACTCAAGTTTCCTCAAGCAACTGGTAATAACCAACATTAGAATCTCAATCTGCGGATGACATAATGATACTTGTGTGGTAAATGTATACAACTGTGATTTACACATCTTACCAGAAGTAAAAAAAAAAGTTCTTTAAGTGGAATATGGATTTACCCTAAAATAAGAAAAAAATGCCACATCGTTCTAATTCAGCACTCCAAAGTTTTGATTCCAACCATATTAGATCTTGGTAGATAAAAATTAGAATTGCTCTTCATTCAAATTCTTTGGAGTGGTGATTGACCAAAAATTACAGTGGAAACCTGAAATTAATATATGTAGAGAAAAGTGTGAACAAGCCTTAAATGTTCTAAAATATATGTTAAGAATTAAATATGGTGCACATCTGTACAGCGATGTACCAAACCTACAACGAACATCTTCACGCTACCAAAACATAGACTTGATCAACTGGGCTGGACAGATTGTAAAGCCAGCAGAAAGATGTATTGGACCTCACCAGATTCAGTACAGACAGCACCTATCCTCTGCAGAGGCATAATTCCTTGGGGGAACAGACACTGCAAAGGTCATATATGCCTAATTTCATCAAACGTAGCTTTCAAATAGGAAAAGAGGTTCAGGAATAGCATTGACATAATTGCACATGAAAGAAATGTGCCAGAGAAGTCTGCCGTACTAGCTCTTTAAAATTGGTATAAAACACAGCTCGACGTGTCCCCTTCCTTCCAAAAAAAGAGAGCTTTACTTCTGCTGTTGGGTGAAGTGGTCTGTTCTTGCCTACCAAAAGGAGCATCATTATAAACAATATGAACAAATCTCAAATCAGAATATCTATAGTTTCATTGTGATTTATAAATTATTTAATTTGTGGGTGGGTTATGGTCCTATATGAGGTGGGATTCTGAGTGCTTTGAGCCCTGATATTTGTCCGAGTCCATCTGATGTGTTCCTAGTAGGAAAGAGGGATACAAATCACTAGTAGAACAAGCGATTGGTATCCACGGCGATGGCGTGGTTGGGGCTGCAAAGTTTGCATATAAGATGTAAGGTTACAAAATAGGAAATACTTTGGGTGCAATGATTAATATTTTATCCAAAGAAGAATTCTCCTCAAACTGTCACACATGGCTTGGAGACACAGAGAGAAGTTTGGTGTACAGAATTCCAACCACACGCAGTAAGTTAAGAAAAAGGGTAGTGTAAGCGAAAGAAATCCTTGTTGAAACTTCCATTTCTGCAATCAACATAAATACAGTAATTTATCTCACAAAATTTCTGAAATCGCCTTACCTAGTTAAAATCTCCTGTTCAAACCAACAATCACACATAATTAGTCATTATTAAATACATAAATAAAAAGTGAACAATTTTAAACTTCATTTTTTATTTTTTTGTAACTAAATTATTTTTCTTTTTCAATATATATTCAAAGAGAGAAATATAAAGGAATTACAACCAAATGCACGGAGCCTTCTCTTTCTCAGCTTCTGTCGTGTCTTCTGTGTCTTTCTCAAATCGCAGGTTATTTGTGTTCTGTTTTTTCTTTGCTCATTCTGGCAGTTTAGGCGGGTTGATGCCGGAGTCCAAATGGGAAAGGGTCAAAATCGGTGTGGGGCACAAAAAATAAATTAAAAAAAGTTACTGAAATTACCTCAAACAAGAACGTTTTGGGCGAGGAAGAGGCAATATCAGAGTATGCGAAAGGAACTAGGTAGGAAAATAAACAAAACCAAACAAAAAAAAAAAAAAAAAAGGAACAGTCTGGTATTAAAGTTGATTTAAATTTTTTTTTTTAATTTTAATATTTTTGTTGTTTTTTTGTTGTTCTCTTTTGCTGATTTTTAATTTTTTTTTAGTTTTAGTTTTTAAGGGGTTTGATTGTTGTTAGTTTCTTTTCAGACATAGTATTTATACTTCCCAGTGCCTGAATTATGGAGGGCATCAGTATGCACCTGATAAGAAATTATTTCATGCGGTGGATATCCTATGAGCTCTTTGAGTTTCATCCTAAAATCAATTTGTTATATTTCATGTTATCTTACCAATCATACAAATTTTATTCATTCTAACTACCCAATGCCAATAATCTCATGCTGCCCATTTTCAGAGTCACGGGTCCACAACCCAATTTTATTTCCCTTACTCCTAATGTTGATCGTTGCCCCATTAATCTTGTCGTTGAGACCATGAAAGCATTCCCCAATCATATTTAACACCTGAAAAACATCAAGTGATTATGGTTTAACATAAGTTATTAATAGTACAGAGTGGTAGACATTGTAACTCACCAGTTCCAACCAGTAATGGTCCAATCTCTGATGTGATGTCTTTTTGTCAACATTTAGTATCCATCGACCTCCATTCTTGTTTGCTTCGTCTTCCCACATTGGCCGAATCCCCTTCTTAAAAAGTGAGTAATCACATCCTCCTTTCAAATGGCTAACCGGCTTGATATGGTTAAATAAACTAAGAAAAAAATTTGTAATGACAATGATGGGCAAGCTGCCATTTCATCAAGAATTACACAAAATTAAGAAAACTACACCACAGCACAGTGGGAATTTATTATATAAGCTGATCAAAAACGATTAGGGATATTGCCAATTTTATAGTATGTACTTTTGCTAACTTTTTTATTTTATTTTTGTTTATAAATGGCATTAAAACTTATGGAAATTTATTTATTTTTTTACTTTTATTTTTACTGAAGGAAACTTTAATTGTGGGATTTTGAAGGTTTTAATTCCATAATTTTGTTTATTGGATAATAATTTTTTTTTTAAATTAACACCGTGTAAATATCCTCTGTTAGCTAAAATCTCTGTGCACCTTTTAGGCATAGGTGTGAGGTCTGGAGACAATGGAGGAAAGAGCAGATGGGAAATTCCCAGATTTTCTAAACATTGATGAACAATGATCAATGAGATCCCTGGTTTAAGGGATGTATTTCTCAATAATTTCTCGGACATAATGGACTGCGGTGAAGTTGCCTTCAACAGTATGGACTTCAGTCCATCCTCCAGTGTTAATCCCAGCACAGACCATTACACCGCCCCCTCTAATTTGCACTGAAGGGAGCACGCACAGCCTGGGGCATTGTTTGCATCCCCATGACATTATTTCTGTCCTCTCTTAGCGATGTAATGTGCCGAGATCCATTACCAGGCCTCCCATTGGCACTTCAAGTCTCTCAGAATCGTTCTAAAGCCTGGGAGATGACACTCTGGGAAATGCCGACTGCCTCTAGGATATCCACTTGCCGGAGCCCTTGATTATTGATATTACGAACTTCTGGTTCAAGATGATGTATTTCCATGGTTAAAGAGGATTAAAACAACTGAATTAAAATGGAGAAAAGACGAAAAAAGGTGTTTGTTTTCAAAATGAATAATGTTCATGTTTACTATTTTTAAGTAAATCCGTTTTTTATTTTTTTTTAAACGATGGTTTGCAACAGCAGAGGTTATATTAACCCTCGGGGTGCCGGTATTTTTGAAAAAAAAAAAACCATTTGTAAGTATGAAGGGTTCGAATGCAGGGCCGCTGGATTCGAACCCGGGACCTTTACCTTACAATGATGAGCGCCGTGTCAACGCCTAAACCGTTGCGGCCACCGACACCCACAAATCCGTTATTAAAAATGAGGATTAACATTTGTTTGTTTTTGGTTAGTATTTTCTATTTTGTTTTACCCAACTAACAAGAATATATCAGTTAATTTAATAAAATTAATACAATAATTATAAATTACAAATATCCCTATTCATTTTTGAGCAGTTTAAATGAATATTTATTTATATATGGGAAATTAGCCCTTTACAAGTACATCATAATAAAAATATTGCTGCCATAACAATATTAAAAATAATATAAATATACAAAACTACATATAAATCAATAAAGTATTTTTAAAAATGTTTATAATTTAAAAAATTTTAAATGAAAAAAATAGTTTTAGATAATTTAACAATTATAAGAACAGAACTTAAAAATGGTAAAAAACTTGAATATATATATATTTTTTTAATAACTTTTCATTTAAACGTGGAATAATGATTTTTTTAAATCTTCCCGTTTCGCCTCTCCAAGAAACAAATAATTTTGACGCTATTTATAATTTTAAAAAATTTCGGCAGTTCAAACTTGTTTGTTGTATTTTTAATTTCCGATTTTTTAAATTTTTTAATTTATTTGTTTTATTTTATAATGTGGGGGTGCTTACCACCAAAAATCTTCAACCGTCCCGAAACTCCCCACCTCCATCAAGCACTCTGCCCAGGACTTTGTCTTGTTCCCGTCCAGGTACCAAAGGGTCCAAGTGTGCTCCAAAGGGTGCTTGTAATCCCAATACGAGAACACCTCCATTTATATTTAATTCCTGAGAAAAGAACAGACAAAAAAATTAAATACGATTTTTTTCCGTTAAGGTTTAGGTTATGCTCTTTTTTTTCTTTTTTTTTACGAGAACTGACTTTTTCCGTTAAGCCATTTTAGGATGAGCGTTTTATATTTTAAAAAAGGAAATAAGGAAAATATAAGATTTATTGTAGCAATTGTTTTTTTTTTACCTTTGATTTATCTAAAATGTGAAAATGTGTGCTCCTAGAGAGTTCTTTTTTTTAAATTGAAACTGGGGTCAAAACAATTTTTTACTGTTTCCTAAAACATTTTTTGTTTTTTCCAACTGAGGTTACTTGATTTCCGGAAAAGAAAGGTGGGGCGAAAAGGGGCCCCTTCTCTTAGTTTAAACTTATCAAAGCCCTTTTATTCGACTTTCAACTGTGAATCGTATTTTTCCGACAATTTTCTTTATTTCGGTCTTATGCTCGCTATCATAAAGTCGTCTCAGCATAAAATTGCTGTGGATGAAGGCATTGTCAATCGACACTGCTAGTCTGTTTTGCTAAAAGTGGGAGTACCTAAATAACAATATTTCGCGTAAATTATCTATTAAAGACACAATGTGTTATGTGAGCCGTGTGGAGCACCATTGGGTGTATCACCTCATCACAAGTTTCAGGTCAATTACATTTTAGAATTAGCACAACAATAAGTACAAATTTTTTACAAAAGTTAACAAAAACGTATAATTACAAATATTATTAATTATAATTATACGTTGTTATTGTAACTTTTGGGATGGCTGAATGAAAGAGATGATAGATTTAAAGATATTTCATTTTGAAATGGGTACAACCAAAAAAACCATATATACTGTACGATTCAAACAAACAAGAACATACTCTTACAGAGGAGTAGCCTGATTGAACCATAGCTCTGTGTGGGTGAGAACAAGCTGATTTGCACTCTACTGCAACTCACCAGTTTGTCCCTGGTCAGGAAGAAATTGGGGATGTGATGATTGAACCATAGCTATCTGAGGGTGAGAACAAGCTGATTTGCACTCTGCTGCAACTCACCAGTTTGTCCCTGGTTGGGAAGAAATTGGGGATGTGATGATTGAACCACAGCTATCTGAGGGTGAGAACAAGCTGATTTGCACTCTGCTGCAACTCACCAGTTTGTCCCTGGTCGGGAAGAAATTGGGGATGTGATGATTGAACCATAGCTATCTGGGGGAGAGAACAAGCTGATTTGCACTCTACTGCAACTCACCAGTTTGTCCCTGGTTGGGAAGAAATTGGGGATGTGATGATTGAACCATAGCTATCTGGGGGAGAGAACAAGCTGATTTGCACTGCTGCAACTCACCAGTCTGGCCCTGGTTGCGAAGGAATTGGGGATGCAAATGCAAAGATTGAATCATAGCTATCTGAAGGTGAGAACAAGCTGATTTGCACTCAGCTGCAACACAGCAGTCTGGCCCATACTACAAGGAGGAATTTGGGGACTTGGTGATTGACCCAGCCAGTTGGGCATAAGAACAAACCAATTTGTACTCTACTGCCTAATGGCGTGGATAGCCCTGATTCCTAGTTTCCTGATTACAATTACTTTCCCTAGTTATCCTACCGGATGAATGCTGTATAACTACATTTATTACTACTAGTAAATATAACAACATAAGTTAGAAACAAAACAAGCCAATTTCACTGGTACTCTTTACAATTATTATTCATGCTACAATGTACACTTAGTAAAACATACCAAATGAAATCAGAAATAAAAAATTTCACCAGTTGATTTTTGTGTATGTTGTTTTCAATTTGAATTAGAAAATAGATAACATTATTTGTTCATGTAAATGAACTTTAATCAATCCTTAATTGCATAACATTCAGGATTATTTAATATTGCACCATTTAAGAACTATTTGTTTCCACTAATCTATAGCTGTAGGCCACACGCCAGTGTGTCCGAAAGAAATGCCTTTTGTTTGCTTATATGGCCTGTGCAGGATCTATCTCTACAATCTTTCCTTGATCTCTGAGCAAGACTTTGGTTTCCAACTTCTCACCTTATCCTCTATGCTAAGACACTGACCATAGAAATGCTTAACTAGCAAAAAGGTTTGGACTCTTTCTGCAGTGTGGCCTTTTTCTTACAAGTATGAGTATACTTACTTCTTCATTGGTTTCTAGCATCCAGTTTGTCTCTGATTGGACATCCGATTTAGCTTTATGTTTGTAACCTTTAACTGTAAACGCAATGTGCATTTCAATCTCATGAACACTTGAAACTATGAGTTTTGGATATGTTAACTATTCAGATTGAGTTGGACTGATTTTGGCTTGAAAGATTAGACTTAGGTGTACAAGGTAAAAAGCTCTTTAGATACATCAGTATACAAACAAATTGTTTCTTCTGTGAGCAGAGGTTTTTCCCCGTGCTCCTTAAATTGTTGAATTTTAAAAGAAGCATTTAAAATAAGCATTTTAAAACATGCACCAAGATTTACCAGGAAGGGTAAAATTATGGTCAAAACGCAACTATTTTATGAACTAAAAAGTCTATAAATATTTATTATATCTAAAACATATTGAAAATGCTTACAATTTACATCTAAAGTAGACTGTCATTATCCATGGGGAATACACACCAAGCACCACCGTGTAACTGTAGGTAATAGGAAACATCTAAAATTTCAGGTGTCGAATTTTCTTCTATTTGCATACCAATCAGACACTTTCTGTATCGCATGTGCCATCGTCAACTTATGTACAAATATTTCAGGTTGTTTTATTTATTTTCTTCTTTCCATCACTGAACCTCCCTTTATTGCATATTGGTTTAGTTCTGTTAATAAATTTCTAGACTGAAAAATTGATTAGGTACTAAACAAAACCTGTATTGGATACAAAAATACCTGCAAGTTGAGAACGGAAGAAAAGACAATTGGGCTGTGTGGTGTCATCAGTGGTCTGCCTATTTTTGTTGCTTCCGTCCAGATCTCAAGATCTTCAGCATTTTACCAGCTTCAGGAGATAAGAATAAAAGAAAAATTGGAAAATCAAAATTTCGACTTTATTTTATTGTTTCACATGTAGGAGCACTCTTTCACAGACAAAAAATATGGTACAAAAAAAAGATATTAAACCACAATGGAATAATAATGAAAATAGTTGAATACTTCAAGTTATAACCAGCGATTAATGTAAATGTAAGCAATAAAACAATTAGAATGTATTTTAAATAGAAAACAAATATCAGGGTGAAAATAGTGTAACGAGACATTATTGAAATGACACATTGTTTCTTGAAAAAAAGCACACTTTCCCTGTATTTCATTTTTATTATACATACACGACATACCGATATTATAATTTAAATTTTAAAAAAGGAGAAGAAAGAAGAACCAAAAAAATTAAAAAAATTAGATTTTCCCAAACTATCCTTCTTTCAATTTCCTTCCATGCTTGATTTCTTCATTCCATGATTTTATTAACCGTTGTGTTTTTACCGCATCCGATAAGAATTGACCTCATGGAGGGAGTCGTATTCACCATCGAAATTGACAGCAATCTTGAAATCAAGGTCACGCGAATTTCGAGGGTTCGGCCTTAATGTGAAAGTACCGTTCACAATTTCATCCCTCTTTGCCGTGATATACTTCTCAAGATAAAACACCTGTAAAAGTAATAATTATGTAATTAACTCAGTTCAAGTGTTAAAATTATTAAGTTATATTACGGTTTGCTTCCAGTGCGTGTAGGGAGATTCTGGCGATGTTGAAAGCCATACTCTGTGTTTTAAATAACATCAAATTAAGTTTGTAGGATTGGCTCAAATTTATTTAAAAGAAAAAGAAACATTTTTTTCACCTTTTATGACATTTAGTGAATTCGACAGTAAAATAAGTGACGAGTGCTTGTATATAGTCATCTCTAAAGACCTGCAGAGCGAAATCAGTTGAGAAGTTCAGATCAGCCTTTGTGACTGTGTATAGATCCACTTCTTTAATCAACGATGAATTGGTAACGACCTATAATTACAAAAATGATTAAGTCTCGTACAACAAATTTTGTCACGAGGTTCTAACCTGTTTTGGATCGACAATATCGACTAGTGGTTCAGTAATAGCAACTGAGCGTATCGAACTCATGTTAAAACCGTAAACGTTGTCCCACCAGTTGATCTTCTCATCCTTGTACTGACGGTCCTCAATCGCAGTTATGTACAGAGATGCACGGTCGGGAAAGAGCAAACCACCCGGGCAAAGCCACTTGTCACGGGCAAACACAACTGTGTCAAGCATCGACTCGTAAAATAAGCAGTAACTGGTTAGAAGAGAAAATAAATTAAAGTTTACCTAATCTGCCTAATTGGCAAAACTGAAATAAATTCAGGCATTCTATTATAACTATTAACTTCATCCTCTAAAAAAAGGGTCGAGTTTAAAAATATAGGAAGCAAATGACTGAAGTTCAATAAAATTTTTTCCTTCTCACAGAATAATGCAATAACAAAACAATGATTCAACAATTTTATGTAATCTAATTGATATATGTAGAGATTAGTGACCATTAATCGATAGTTATTCAGATATCGTGAGATGCGGTCGGGTGTGATGTAGGTTTCAGAAAAACATTTTCTTTATCGTGCCAACGTTTCGATCTTTTATTGAGATCATCTTCAGGGCTAAAAGTGTTTGTCTTCTGTGTAATTGTGCCATCCTTGCATGTCGTGTTGAGAGTGCCACTGCCAGTGAAGATGATCTCAATAAAAGATCGAAACGTTGGCACGATAAAGAAAATGTTTTTCTGAAACCTACATCACACCCTACCGCATCTCACGATATCTGAATAACTAATTGATATAATAAATATTTACTATACACTATATATAATTGAAAAGATCTGTTAGATATATTAAAAACAAATGAAAAAGCTAACCCCATCCATTCGGAGATGATTATGTCAACCTTTTGGACATCTTCAGGCAGTTCTACCTCTTCAACTTTTCCTTTGACAATCGTAATGACATTTCCGAGCTTGTTATCATTAACGATTCGCCTGGCATACTCAACAATGTTTGAGCACTCGATCCCGATGACCTTTCTCGCACCGGCCTTAGCGGCGAACATTGAAAGAATGCCCGTCCCACATCCGACATCCAATACGACCTTGTCCTTGAAAAGGTGCTTATTATGGTAGATGGAGTTGCGGTACGTAAGAGTACGAACCTGAAATATAAAAAAACACCAAAGAATGTAGATAAAAAAACTGAAAAAATGGTTATGAATATATCATATATATTATGCTAATATAATAGTATATCAATTTAATAGTTCAAAAGGACAGTTCTCACAATTTACAGATTTCTTTCAGTTTGACGATGGGCCTTTAATTGCACAAAATTCAGGAAAAAACTATCCTTTCAGCCTATTAAAACAGAAGGCTATCGACAAGCTATAAAGTTCTTACTTCGTCCTTAAGCATTTCCTCATGGATCCCAAAATGGGCGTATGAATCAAAATAATAATCCTTCGAAGTCATCTCCTCTGGATTTATATCACCGCACTCATCGGAATTGGAACCGTTTTGCAACTCCATGAGGACAACTCCTTCTACAAATATATATTAAAAAAATGAATAAAAAATAAAAATATGATTAACTTTGGTTTACCCCCCCCCCTATCTATTATTATATGAGAAACAATAGAAAATGGCCTTAAGGGGGTAAGACAAAATCTAGTTGTGCTGTCATGCATTCGACTGTGTTCTCGAGCTTTCGCGGATGAAGCAGCCGATGGCTCAGTTCCTCAGGTGTGTGAGGGGGGACTTCCATGAGAGCAGAGCCAGGCCCATCAGGTGAAATTAAATTTATTAATCATTTTAAAAACTATTTTATTTTTGCATGAATAATAAGTCTTTTAATATGTATTGGAGGCTCTAATTGATTCTCTCCAAACTTTTGCCTGCTTTCAATATACTGTTCCTTCTTTCTTCTCAATTTGTTTTATTCTCTAATGTGTCGCAAAATGCTTCCTCTTCCAAAATGGAAAAAAAACCGTCCTGACTCTTGGTGAAAGAGTAAATTTTTGGAGTATGTTACATTTTTTATGCAGGCCAAAGCTTTTCTTCAAAACAGCTCAGGGAAATTTTAACCTTGAGGGACCAACTTATGCGTCTACCAAGCAATGGATTTTAACCCACCTTTAAATCAAAGTTTCAAGTTTAAAAGGGATATCAAGGCCGCTTCAAATCCTTATGTGGAAATTCTTAAAGAAATTAATTATTTGGTGAAACAGTCAATTAATATTAATTTGTTTCCTTGTACATTAAAAAGTACAAACAATGAAAAGAACAAGTTCAAACACTGTTATGTCTTCCACTACGTTTATTTCGAATAAACTATTTTTTTAGTTCTAAATTGTATCTCAATTTTGGGTATCATTGCTCTCCTTATAGTACTCAACATTTACAAATTAAACATTCATGGCAGTTTTCTGGAACCAAACACCCGCGAATGTTAAGAGATTATTGTAATTATTCCTTATATGATAAGATTGTTTTAAATAAAAGAAAGATACTTTCAAAGTTTTATTTAAGTATGGAGATTTGTATCCCCTTAAAATCTCTCTTATTTTAGGGGGAACTCCCAGGACCTTTCTTCTCAATTGAGGACTTTCCTGGAATTTAGCTAGGTGAAATCACAGTGCACTAATCTGGCATGGCTTGGTAACAATTTTTCTTATAAATTAATTATCCTTCAACTAAATCTGCACTTGATAATGGATAGATTCAGTCATTTAACTCTAGACAAGAATTTTCTTGAAATAAATTGATGCGCTTAAGAATAACTTGTGAACACCAGCTTACAGCCTTTAAAAAAAAAGTGGTGTTTCTGAGTTCCTTTGTCACTTCTACAAGGGTCTCTCTTTTCTCCTACCACACGTTTGCTCTCTGCTCACAGCTCCTCTTGAGTCCCTTGAAAAAGACCTTTGATTTTTATATTGGTCCCAATAAGGATGATGACAGTTTTATCGTGTGAGGTCTGGACCCTTGTGCTGTCCAAGTGTCGTATTTCCTCATGCTTCATGGGAACCTTCCTTCTTTTTGCTTAGTTTAAATTCTTGGAGGAAACAGGGATGATTTATTGCATTATAGTTTTGTGTCTTTAGCATGTGTTAATAGTGAATGTAGTTTATTAGATCCATTATATTTAGTGTTCTAATTGACCAAATTCCTTCCTTCAATTAATTATCCTTTGTATGTAAGGTCTTGGTTGAAATGAAAAAGTTAGTGTCATGAGCAGGACACGAACCCAAGACCTTTGGCTCAATACATCGCTGCTCTAGCCACGAGCTATCGTGGCTTTGATCCACTCAGACACCAACTTTTTCATTTCAACCAAGACCCTACATACAAAGAATAACTAATTGAAAGAAGTAATTTATTAGCTTGAATGTGTAGTATGAGAGGGTCGATGGCTGAATGTTTAGTACCCCATTGACCTTGAAATAGGTTAATATGTGTGGAGGAATATTTAGTACCACTAATTGAATGAATGTTACCTAAATAGGAGAGAATGTATTTAAGAATGAGAATGAATGGGCTTGGAACTGCATGTGTTAGGTGCTGAATTGTCCTAGCTGTTAACAGCATCCAAAGCCCAACCTTAGTGGCTGGACAGATAAGAATGAGGCCTGTCCCTAGAATGCCAACACTCGGGGTTGGTGTTTCTCGAGGGGCTGCCCGGTAATTTATTGTAAATAACAAAAGCTGGAATTGCCCATGGGCTATGAATAGTGATAGGCTAAACTCTGCACATGTTTTTATGTATATACGTACATGTGCGGATTTGCGCTTATTAAATCAAAATCAAAATCTAAAGGTTGCATACAGTTAATACTGAAATTATAAAAATTGTATAGTATTTTTAAAAGATGAGCAGGGCATATTAAAATAACTTTTAATTGAAAAACTAACCTGAATTTTTGTTGGGCATCTCCCCGTTTTCGACCGGAACCGGCCTCGCGGCATAATCGACCTGCACGTCCATCTCTCAGTTGTGAAAAATACGATTCGAACTGAAATAAAGAAATGTCACCGTGTTTTAAACCCATGGATTCGACAACTGCCTAGGACATTTTCGACTGGACAAAGGTGGAGAGGAAAAAAAAACTTTAAATAATCATGTGACGCTCCGTTTTCTACTCACTTCTTCCTCCCGTGTTTCTCCTCTGGTTCGGAAAATGGGCCGGCGTTAACGGACTTTTTTGCGAAAATGGTTTTACAAAAGATTCGTGCAAAAGCCGGGCTTTTGACACGGGGGTTGCGTAAATTAATTATTATTACACTACCTTTTATATACAGCCTCGGGAAGATGCGCGATATTCAGAAGTTGGCCATCTTAACTTTTCCCCCACCTCAGAGAACCGACGCCGGATTGTAATCAAGTCTCGGAAATAATACTTTCAAACTTTCTTTTATTAATTATTTATCAAAATAATCTTGCGAAAAAATGGAAAAGTTCGTAAAGAAATCGTTGCTAAACGCACGATAGTGTATTATCTACTTGCATATTATCAGCCAAATAAAGACGGTGCGCGGGAGGGGCTCCCTTCCATCTCTTGGAGACCCAAAAGAAAAATCCCCAATTTCTTATTTAGTATTTTATTCTTTTAACTTTAATGAAATAAAATAAATATTTTTAATTTGCTGCAATACTCCAAGGATGTAGGTTTTCACAAATTTTCTTTTCAAACGAGCCAATAAATAAAAATTCATCATTATTCCATTTCCAAGTTCGTTTAATAATTGAACCAAATAAAATGTTTGTCAATAATTTAAATATGAAATAAACGTAATATTTTTCATTTCAATAAAAAAAGTACTATTTATCTGTGAAAGTTTTAACGAAGAATCATTCTCTATCTCAAGAATTTTTTTCCTCATATTTTCATATTCTGGCAGAAGAATCGAAAAGTATATTTTAAAGAAATTAAAGAATAACAAAAAAATAAAAAATAAAAATTAAATAAAACATAACTTTCAGTGTTTGCAACCTTTTAGTTCTTGTTATCAGTGAATGCGTTGTCTTAAAATCGGCGATGTCATCGGGCTAGTGAACGCATATTTCCATCATTTTCTCTAGTTTAAAGTATATAGTGTAAAAAAATTGAAATGAGCGACATTGGTGTCTGGTTCAGGTCTTTGCCTATTTTCACGCGTTCTTGGCTCTCTCTGACTTTCGCCTTCACGTTGCTGGGACGTTTCGGCATTCTGCGCGCCTACCAGTTGACCCTCTCGTACGATCATATTGTCAAATACTTCCAGGTTAGCCGCATCTGTAGTTTTACTTCTATCTAAAAAGTGTGGTTTTTACGATCTGAACTTGTAATTTTCTTAGATTTTCGGCCGGCAAATATTACGTATAAATATGATTAAAATTACAGAATGATATTCGTTGGAATTTTCAATAAGTACACGAAACGCAGGTAAATGTCCGTCCAACTGCTGTCCTACAGATCTGTATCCGTTGCACAGAGATAAAAATGTTTCAGTGAGAAGTTCGAACAGGTAGTCTCTTCAATGTTCGAGACAATTCAGTTCAGGTTAAACAATATTTCCACTGTGCAGGTTTTTGCAAGTCGGTTTTTGGTTCCCATGGTCGGTTTTCCCATGTCCCAACCAGACCACCTTGATATACTTAGCCTGACAGACTTACGAGTATTCGCCAAATGCTACGGAACATTTGTCAAGTCTCGAGATGCTCGTCTTGGCATTCGCCAAACAGTATGCCTATGCACACATCAGAGCTTGTTCTACCACTTAGTTTGTGCGAAAATGGCGAATACGTATTTGCCAAGTGTCGTCTGAGTCCTCAATTTACTACCAATCGTGATGGACAACAGCAAACTTATTATGGCAGCTGTGGTTTATTTCCAAAGTTTAAATTTAAACTGTGGTTTTTGGAAGGGGGCAGGCAAAATTATTTCTATGCCACTTTTCAGAGTGAAAACTTACTATGCCTTGTTGGGGAGCTACATGTATAGAATAGGAATACATCACTAAACTGCCCGACATGCGACCTATGTGCCATCTAATATTAGAATGCCCGGAATATGAAAACCAGCGGAAACACTTGTTGGACAATCTGTACAGTGACCCTGAGTATTTCTGGCTCAGACTGGAAATATTGCAAGTAACGTCAGTTTTTTATTTAATCGATAAGTTTCTTAAATCAGTTAATATCTTGTTTTAAGGTAATATAAAAACAGTGAGTTGTCAAATTCCCTTACCCAATTTTGATGTAAGTAAATGGAGAAAAGACAATTTGAAAAGGGAAAAAGTACGCAATCAAAAGAAGGTATAAAGTTGGGTCACAATGAAACCTCGAAAAATAATCTTTCAGACATGTAACTCACCCAATTATTCGCTTTTTTGCTCAGTTGGCTCTGTAACGCTTTACAGTTCTTGCCTCACTGTTATTTACTAAACAGTTTTCTGCAGTCAGTTGTCCTTGTCTCAACAGCTATTCACTTCTCAGTTCACTCACTTTGACATCAGCTCTATGCTAACTCCGTAGATCATAAAGTTGTCTGTCATCTTCTTGGCAGTTTGTAATCGCCCACATTTGGCTTTACTCTCCTTGCCTCAACTCCCTTCGTTCAATTCCCTCGAGGTGATTCTTTTCAACTTCTGGTGTACAGCTCTTGGCTTATTTTTCGACATCATGACGGGAGTTGAATTTTTCTTTCACTGCAGAAACTTAAAAACTCCCATATTTAAAATTATTTATTATTGATACTTCCGAAATTAATGTTTTTCCCTTACCTCGGGTTGACTGCATAAATGGACTCCTTTGATTTGATTACAACCTGTTCATTCTGTTTTTATATCACTTCTGTTAGCAAGTAGTTAAAGTGAAATCCTGAATGAACCGATTCTTTATGTATATAACTTTAAGCCTAACGAGATGTTTATTTAGATTTGTGGTGCTTCATCGGACATGGCACATGTTGTCCTGCATTGTGTACATTCCAGTAAGGTACGGCCCTACTCTTCCTGGGAACCATCCTTCAGAAGTGCAATGCTAGCTGACAAAATATGTATCGGGAAAATTTGAAGTTCTTAATTTACCCAAGTTGGAGCTTTTTACTTAATCACCACACTTGTAATTCAGTCATGGTACTGATGTTGCCTGTGTAGTGTTATCCTTAAATTTTACAAATATGAAGGAAAAAAAAGAGGGCTTTTTAACTATTTATTTACAAATATAAAAAATATGTTAAAAATGTATTTGCTTTATGTTTTAGATATGGCGACCTTTCACCGCACTCTTCTTCTATCCACTTTCACCAGTAACAGGATTTCATTTCATCATAAATTGCTATTTTCTTTACATGTACTCAATAAGACTCGAGACCGGTAAATCATACGTTTTTAAAACATTCAATACACACAATAAAAATCATACTGATGATGAATGATCATGCGATTATTGATGACTTTTAGGTCAATTCTTTGGAAGACCAGCTGACTACCTTTTCTTACTTGTCTTTAATTGGCTAGTATGTGTTGTTATCGGCCTTCTGGTGCAAATATCAGTATGTAATCATTTTTATATTTAACAAAAAAATAAAATAAAATAAACCAGAGAAAAGTACAAGTACAAAACATTTTATATAACTAACATTCAATTTTGGAGACCGCCAAGTGGTCTGGTTGATAAACTCTCAGCTTGTATTTGTGGGTTTGATTCCCACCGTTGTTCCTAACCCTTTTTTCACTCTAACTTATCCCCCAACTATACATGATGAAATAAATTTTATTTTGAAGGTTCTCATGGATCCAATGGTATTGAGCATACTTTATATATGGTGCCAATTAAATCGTGATGTAGTTATTAGCTTCTGGTTCGGCTCTCGGTTCAAGGCGATGTACCTACCTTGGGTACTGCTTGCTTTTAACTCGATTGTAATGGGCGGGTAAGAATTGTCAATTCAAGATGATCAATCTAAATTTAATTGTAAATGTATTTTTTATTAGGGGTGTGATGGAGTTGTGTGGGATCATAGTGGGACATATCTATTTCTTCCTTATGTTCAAGTACCCACAGGAGTTCGGTGGCCCTCAACTGCTTTCAACACCTCAGATTTTGTAAGTGCTTATTGTTATTTTTAAATATTACAAGTCTTACGTAGTTTTTCGTTTTGACCTTTTAGCTATGATTGGTTCCCGTCTGTACGAAGTAGCAACGAGGGCTTTGGTCGACCACCTGATGGAAGCCCAAGGGGGTACAACTGGGGGCAAGGGCATGTTCTAGGTGCCCAGTAATTTATAAATGTACTCCTTAATTTTAAAATAATTATTTATAAAAAAAATATTAAAAAATGCTAATATATGTAAGTTTTTAAAAAAAATACCCACTACATTCTCATACAAACATTATGCAGGACGACCAGATTTATACTAATTATTCATAATGAATTTTGTTATATCGTTGGCCCGCTAGTTGAAATATATAATTTTTTTTTTAAATATATCTTTACCATCCTTATACATCAGTGTGTATTTGCTTCTGTGCAATTTTTTTCAACACCTTTTTGGTGACAGTGAGCGATTGTTGTTTAGATAATTTCAATAGAAATAATTTATTTTTTTTTATTGTTTAGTCAGTTACTGGTTCTTTGTTTTGTCTTATGGTATAGTTGACATGTTATATTATTGTGTGTAATATATTTATTATTTTTTCCGTTATTAATTGTGCCATTTTGATATTTTCAGTACAAATAAAATACATTAGATTCAGTTTTGTTTTTTAAAAAATAATTTATTATTTTGGCGTTTTAGTTTCCATTTATTTTTATTTTTTAAATAGACTCAAGTATTTAAAAATCATAGTCATTACACATCTTATAAACAAAAACATTTTCACATATTGTTCAAATTTATTTTCTTTTTAAATTTTTTATTACACTACCTATTTTTACATTTTTTTTAAATTTTTAATTTTTTTTTTTAAATAATAACTTTATATAATCTCATCTGGCTCTGATGGTGCATCCAAGTCCCTATAAGTGATAATTGGCCTATAATCCACAGACCTGGAAGAAATAAGTATAAAAATAAAATTTGTGACTGTGATTGATGTTAATTTTGATCTATATTACCTTCCACGAGGAAAGCCACCTCTCCCTCTGGCAAACGGGTGTCCTCCAAAATGGCCAAATCCCCGACCTTTAAAAGGTGGATACTGGTAACTGTAAATGATAATACATTTATTTATTTTTTGTAAGCTTAACATTTGAGCCAGGCATAACTTGGCAACTGCAATCCCTGAAAGGTCCTAAGTCATCGAATAACCGCTTAAAGGGATGAAAATAATGTCAGTTTTAACAAGTTCAATGTGATAGGCGACAAGCTCTTGGTACTTTCAAATCTCTCAAAAAATATTCCCCTAGTAAGTAAACAAGTCAAACAAAATAGGTCCCACAGTAAATGCGTTAAACCAAAACATTTGACTGGGGTCTTCTACTTCAAAAATTATATACACCTTAAGAGTAAAGGTCTGCTGTAAGCTGAAATACCTAAAGTTGTCCCCCCCCCCAAAAAAAATGAACATAGTTAAAAGAATAGGGTTAAAAACATTTTTATTAACTAACAATGCCCAAGCACTTGTACAACTGAGTAAAGGGATTTACACCAATTTCATGACTCGGCCTACAGTGAAATTCTAAATAAAAAAGGACTATTTAGATAAATTTCACTAACATGGAAATTACCAATCCTGCAGAGTTTTTGCTGTGCTTGGTCTTGTAACTTGGTGGTAACTTACCAATGTCTGGTCCGTTTTTCCGAAGTTCTTAGGTCCTAAGTTGCAAAACGTTTAGTATAAACAGATTTTAAATAATCATCAGTTAGGCTCAACAAATTTAGCACATGGTATACAATTTCTTTAAGATCATTTGTGGAGAAGGAACGCCAGTAGACACTGAGATTGTACAAAACTGATGGAAAAACTTAGACAGTACTGCACCTATTATGAATCGAAAAATTTTAAATGAGACCTTTTTATTTTTTACAGTACCTCCAGATAATAAAATGCAATTAAAAACTAAGTATTTTTAGCGAGGAAATGTTTCAGAGGATTGTTTATTCTGATGCACAAATATGCTCGATGAATTTGAAAACCCTCTAATCATACGAAAGGCTAAAATCTTAGGCATTCCAAAGAAGTCGATATCTTGTAATCTCTAATGTGACTCATGTTAATACTAAACATTTTTTCTCCCGCTCTTATTCCAAAAATAGACGCCTCTATAGCAGACAATATATCCTTCCCTAAGAGTGCCTCTTATAGTGGAAAAAAAATCCAAATTGAAATGCATTAAAATAAACAGAAAAATCAAATTAGAACAGATTTAGGCCTTCGAGACTATGCAGTCAATGTGTTCCATAGAATTATGTTTATACTTACTGGAAAGTAGGATCTGAAGGAGACGGTACATCTTTCTTTCCTCCTCTATTTCCAGGATGTTCTGCTAATTGGGGCCTCTTTGGATCTCTAAGATAATTGTTAAAATAATCCACCTATGGGAGAAAAGGATTTAAGATATATTACTGTTTGTAGATATTTGTATATATTTTTTACTCACTTCTTTTTTGACTTCGTCAAGTTGGTCTGAATATTTGTTGAAAATGTGCTTCCGGACAAATTGAGCCCCTTTGAATTTTTTACCTGAAAGTGGGCACAGCCATTTGTCTTTTGCCAACTCTTGTGTGTTGGCCTGTATAAACTTCTCGACTTCGGCTTCTTCTGATTTGGCACCGAGTTGAGTCAATTCTGCCTCTGAAAGTGTTTCAGGCGGTCTAACCAATGGTTCGAGTTTTGTCTTGTAAGATTCACAGTAATCATTTATTTCCTGTTGCGAAACCTAAAATACAAATAAAAATAACACATGTCGATAATAAGTGAATAAAAGCTTGCTTACTTCAGTATTTGATGGCATTCCACGTAGATGCATTATGCCACATCTATTGGGCATTTCATCCTCAGAAGTATATTGGCTCATGTTATAATAATCAACAGAATAGACGATACGCAAGTAGAGGAGGAGACGATCGAGAACTTTCAGAGCTGCGGAATGCCTGTTTTTTGAGTCGTCGGTGACAACTCCCTCCCCTAGCAGTTCCTCCTCTTCAGCTGGTGCTTCCTCCACAAGGAATTCCGTAATATCACGGAGTACTGGATTTCCGCTTGCAAGGCAGAATGAGCTGGCATCAGTCTCCTTGGCTGATTCTTCTTCTTCCCAGAGGCCATAGCGAGCGTCCAATTCCTGTATTATCCTCGCACAAAGTTTTATGTCATGAAGTACCACCTGTTTGTGAGCGGACAGCCCAGAAACACTTCTAACACGTCGAGAAAGATCACGGTTCACAATTGCGCCCATCTCACAATCTTTTACCTGCAAAAACATCCATTATTGATAAAATTTTAAATATGACATGATTTTTTAAAATGATTTATATTATAGTTCATTACAACACCAGGGAGCAAGTTTTCCGATTTTTTTTGTTTGAAATAGTATTTTTTTACTTTTTTTTTAAATGAAGGTATTCAACTATGAGGTTATATGAATCCGAGGGCGTCTTTTTTTTTTTTAAATAAAGCCCATTTGTAAGTGTCGGGTTTGAATGCAGGGCTGCTGGATTCGAACCCAGGACGTTTACCTTACAGTGATGAGCTGTGTCAATGCATATACCGTAGCAGCCACCGACACCCGATTTTGTCTTTACGGATCAATTGTTTTATTTTTAAACACTGAAAGCAATTAAATTCACTCGTAAGAAATTTGTAGAGAATACTTAATTGTAAATTATGTATTCAATAAGGAAATATTAAGGAAACAAATCATCATGGTATTATTTTTGCTAATATAAATATGTTTTCCTTTAGAAATGGTCATTGAGAAGAAAGTATCAATTCCATCATTAGAATTTCAACTTACCCTTATGTTGTTGATATTCCAGCATATTTCTTTGATATTAACATCTCTTCTAAAAGTGACCCAGCCTCGTCTAATCCAATGTTGTTCTGGCTGGGGGTCTGAAAGTGAAACTCTTAAGAATCCAGGATATTTTTTACAAATCTGCAAAGGGATAAGGCAAACAAATTAATTATAAGAATTGTACGTTTGTAATAAAAAAAATTAATAAATAAAAGTGTACCGTTTCAATTTCTTGCTTTGTAATCCTGGGCGAGATGGTGCGAAGAAAAATCGATGATGTTTTATGGAGAGGACGTGGAGTAAGAGGGACAACTTCATCATTTTGCTCTTTCTGTAAAAGAAAGTCAAAAATTATTAATGAAAAAACAAAAATTGGTTTTATGACTCACATCTGAATCATCCCCTTTTGGTTCTTTTTTATCTTCCTCTTTCATCTCACCTGTAATAATACAAATCAGCATTAAGGTATACAAACAATACTTAAGGCACCATTTGTCAGAAATCAATATAAATATGTTTAAATTTTCATTAGCCTTACTTTTATCTCTAATTTTAAAATTTATTTGATTATCTGCATTAAAATAAGAATTATGTGCAAATGATACTAAAAATGTGAAAGAAAATATCAAATTCAGATTTAATATAATTCAATCATGGAGAGAATTTACCATTGTGGAAAAAACCCTATTTACAATTATTATATTCTAATTTTTAGTGTTACAATACCATCAACAAAATTATGCATGTTGCATAACTCACCATTGTCTTTAATCTCGGAGTTTTCGTCTTCTTTTGAAGGTTCATCATCAACTGAATAAAAAAATGATTTTATAATAAATTCTTATTACTGCAGTGTACATAAATAGTAAGTGTGCAATATGGTTTTATTTAAAACAGTAATATACCTCCAGGAGGTCCTTCTTCTTTTTCTTCTTTACTTTCCTCTTTTTCTATATTATCTGCCTCAGCGTCTTCCTTAATTTCCTTGATTTCGTCCGTGTCTTTTTCTTCCCCATCAGGCTCCTTGACTTCTTTTTCTTTCTCCTTCTTATCTTCCTTATCAGGGGGAGTTTCTGTCAGTTCAAGTACCTGGAGGTCTAGGTCAGTACCTCCTTCCAGCCGGATGACAACAGAGTCGAGAAGTTTAACAACTGCATCACCCTGGTCTGCATCTACACGTACTTCATCGATCTTTGACTTGTTAAGCATTTCCAAAAACACGGACGCCCTTTTCTAAAAATAAAACAAAGTAAATAAATTTCAAAAAGCCTAATGTGGAGGAAAAAAACAACTCAAAATTAATATTTACCTTCAAAGCTGATATTTGTTCCTCTTTGCGCTTCTGTGACTCTTCAGGATGATATTTTAATTTAAACCTACAATTGCAAAGAAACAAATAAAAGAAATTAGTATTCTATTTTGAAATATCAATTCAAAAAATAAAACTTTAAAACTGGAGAGAAATGACTAACATGGAAATAAAATTAAAACATCATAATTTATTTTTAAAAAAATTCTGAAACTTTACCTTTTGTACACTTTTTTCGAGAGCTTTTAAGTTTTTTGTAATTTTTTAAAACAGGATTTTTTAGTAAAACAATTTTTTTTATAATTGCTCATATTCCGAAGAGAATGGAGACAAATGAGATTGTAAAGTAACATCTTATACATCAGGAGCCTAACAACCGTAACACTTTTTCAACGCACAGTTTATAAATTGCATAGAAAAAGATAATAATGAATTGGCGTCGTAAATTGTCGTACCCTTTTTAAAATATATTTGCTCTTGCTAGAAAAAGAGTTGGTTTGTGTGTTTGTCACAAATGATTAAAAAAATAAATAAAAAAATATATGTACATATAAACAAATACAAGTTTATAGAAATAATGATTGTCAAACAACACCTAAACAGTGTAAAAATGCAAGCCAAGGTTTTTTCTATTAAAATACATTGTAGGTTTTTTATTATTTTTAGATTTTTTTAGTTATATAAACATGTAAATGAATAATTAATTAATGTATCTCAATTAATTATTTAAAAAATTATAGATTTTTTTTTGGCGTGCACCACTGTATAGATATGTTAAGAAAACATGGGAACTTAAATTATTTACTGACAAAACTACTAGAATATCTACAATGCATAATAAAAAAGAGACAACTCTGCTGGAAATATTTGTGGCACTTGTTTATCAAAAGCATAGTGATACTGACAGAGGATTAATAATATTTGTAAACTGATGAAATGAAGTAATATTGAAAGTAATTTATGTTTTATATACTAACATAAATTACTATCTCTAGTTATTTTTGTTTACCAGTAAAAGTACAATAAAATCTTGATTAGTTCCCATATTTTACTTGAAATGAGAAGGTAGCTGTCAAGATGGATAACGTTGTGACCTTATAAATATAAAATGATTATTATTGATTAAATAATCATGAATACTTTGGACCACAGTATGGTCCAGAGTATTCATAAGTAGAAAAGTGGTCAATACATCTAATGCTTAAAACTGAATAAATAATGAAAAGTATCCAATATTACTAATTGCCTTCTCATATATAAAAATAAATAATACAAAAAAGAAAAAATATATAAATATACAGGTAGGCACATAAGTTTGGCCTAGTTATATTTACCACTCCTCTTCTTTGTGTGCGACAAAGAACTCATTAAGCTGCTGTCGCCTGAACTCCATTTTATATTCAGCATACTTTGAGATAGCTTCCTCATCCGTAATATTATCATCTTGCGTCTGCAGGAATGCTTTGAATGTCATAATTGGTGGCTGCGTGTCAACATCCCCTCTGTTGATTGTTATGGTTTTGTATTTTTACAAATATTTTCATGAGATTTATAGTTTCAAAAAAAGGCAAAAGAAAAAGACATGGTAAAAAATTAATAAACACAGAATTATTAAAAATAAATAAATTAATTAATTAAATAAATAAATAAAACATCTTCAAAACTCCTTCGTTTTTTGAATGTTTGTGAAATAGTGAAAGGTTTATTTTGTCTATTCTGCAAATCTTAACGTACCTAGAGTTCCCCGGCGGATAGCTAACACTGTCTGGCACCCAGGAGTTGTACGAGTTGTATGGTGGCTCATACCTCATTCGACGGATATCCTCGTTCCTTTAGAAAAGAAGAAATATAGTTGGGGAAACCCAAGCCGAAATGGTGTTGGACACGAAATCTCATTTGAAAGTGATTGAAAAGTCGAATATTGTGAAACATTGCAGTGAGGTTTGTAAAGTAATATAACTTTATCATCTATAATTGTCCTGGTATATATATTTGCCAGTTTTTTCTATCATGACAAATTCCGGCATTTTATCATCTTGATTTTTTCGTTTGGTCAGTTGGTGAGTTTTCTCATGGTGAATGGACATGTAAATCAAGATAAGAAAATTCATTTCTGTCAATGTGGAGTACGTTGTACAATGTTTGACTTGTTCCGAGATCACTGTCTCTAAGACTACACACTACACTTTTGATCAGCTAAGAAGCGAGTCTGTGATCTTCTTGTCTGCCTATCTTCGCTGTTTAGTGCATCAGGCATGTTTAACCTTTTTCACCAACTTCAGTCAGTTGCCATTTGTTTCCATTTAACATAGTATCAATAACTTAATATCATAGGCACCACTTGCAATGTAAAAGACTTGTTTAGTTTAAAAAACATAATAAACCAAATTATCATACACACAAACTACACACTAACTCTAGATGCCTCATTGCGTTTCATAAAACATCCTAATAAACTAAATACTTAACATTATCAAAAATAAATGGCATGCCATATGACCACACATAAATCTCCCATACACATCCTTCATAACAATGTAACAATGTTATCACACTGTTGCACAAATGGTTATTTCACATACATTTCTACTATTTGGCGTAGCCATGGGCAGCAATGTTGGCCATGTAGTGATGACACAATAACTGAACGCTGTTATAAAGCTGGGTTTCTACTGCATGAAAATCACTCGCGCAATAAGTTTTATAAAATTTGTCTCACATTGTACCTAGCCGGGACTCAGAAACTTTTGGCGTGAGGATGTTTCAAGGTGAGCCGACGAGCAGTCTGTTTTTTGGTGTGCTTACGTTGTTTCTTTCTCTACACTTAAACACACTTGTCTCGAGTTTGAGCATGAACAAGAACTTATCTGAATGTATCACAGCAAGCAATTTTTGTGGGATGTTAAAGAAAAAACTCATAACAAGAACAAGTGAAAGGAAGCGTAGAAAGAAATGAGCAACAAAATAGGACAAAGACCAAAAGTACAACAAAAAAAGATAGCAAACACTGTTGTAGCAGTTGGTATAGTTCTAAACTCATGCTTGTCTTTCCTATGGGTTGCAACATGTTTTGCCTCATGGAAATGTTTAACCTGAGAGTGTTTCACGAGTGATTCTTGCATTTAATTGGGCGAGTGATTTTTTTTCGTACAATATTTTACACAACTACCTTTCACATTACTCTTTCCCTCTTCGATTGATGAAATTTTAACAGCAGGACCCTCAGATCAAATACAAACATTAGACACAATTAACAACTTTACATCCTCACTTACAATTCACAGGAACAAATACTGTTCCTAGTCAAATAATAGTGTAATAAGACAAAAAGTTGGCAAAATAAGTACAGATTGGTACCAAAAACCAATGAATTCAGATCGCTACCTCTTACATATATATACAAATCCTAAACACTGAAAAAACAAAAGCAAACGCAACTTTCTAGAAATGGTTTACAATGACAGACACACAGCATTAATTACATCATAGGTACATGTAAACTCAGCCGTAGCTTTCTAATATTAGTAACTATGCCCATCAAAAATTGAATCCAGAAAATCCCCATTTTCAACTTTCTTTGAATCAAATAAAACCACCTTGACCAAAGAAAATTTCCCAGATTTACCAACAAACAGCAGAATGCAAATTCACTTTTCACAACAATTACACATGAAACAAACATGACACTACAAGAATAGCATCACACTTTATGTAAGTATGAAATATTTGGTACATCTATAGTGTATAATCATTTTTTATAATCAACATATGTTTGTAATTCACCCAGACCCTGAAGATGACTCGAATAAAGGTCAAAACATCGACAAAAATTCAAAAGGTGTTTATCATACTTTATTCCTGACCTCTCCTCACTACTTCAATAGATCATTTAACATCATTAAATCCAGTGTAGAAGATGGTGCAAAGCTAAACATGCCTTAACAGACCAACACCAACTTATGTGTAAAATTGTAACATGTTATTAAATGCAAAGCCAATGAGAGTAGGCAAATAGGTCGGAGACAATCACACTACAATAAGTATAATCAGTGAAAACTTAGAAAATTTAGTACACTTTCAAATGACAATTGAAACAAAAGAATAACGTTATGATTTCAAAATCAGGGTTTATGACTCCTAACTCCCCACATTTCAATCTAATACTGATTGCTGATCATAATCATATTTATATTACAATAACATAAATTATGAGGAGATTGGGATCGAAAGGCTCTGTTCACATGTAGGCAATTGGTATTCGAGACAGACCAAGGAGATGGAGGTTACACAGGGACAGACCCCCCATCATACAGTCGGGGAGACTGGAAGAAAATACCAATTTTTGTCATTTGGGATGTTCAGACTCTTTTTGTACAAAGGCACATAAGGGACATTGTCATTCATACAGTTCATTCTGTATCGAACAGATTGCTCAATCCGACTGTCATTACTTTTAAAAAATAGAAGTGACATTTTTGAGAATGATAACTTAATTTATTGGTTATTTACTTCATCTGGATCATGCATTGTATAGATAATATGAAGTAATGACATGCAGTAATTGTTAGAAACTTCCTTCCAGTAGTTCTTTACAAAGAAGGCGTAGCTGCCTTAGTCACATTCCTAATTAATTGGTGAATCCACATTATTCTATCCCTAGTTGTTTTTCATTTATCTAAATACCAAAGAGATACAGCTTCTAACTTGTCCAATAAAGATCGGATCAAGTGAGAACAGCTAGAGAGGAAACGACTGAATCTAATTGCCTAAATACTCTTTGTATCTAATACCGGTATCGCATACCAATCGCCCCCGTGCGAACTGGGCCAAGCCTGCAAAACTTCCTACAACTAGAACACGCATTTTAAGGTAATGAGGATGGATTTCTGAAGGTGTAGACGGGAACGGGATGAAAAGGGAGGAACTCAGTAGGGAAATGTAATATGATAGAAAACAAAAAGAACTTTGAATGAAATTTGCAGAAGTGATTTTCTTGAAGATGTCCATTTCCAAGTAATATTGTCTAAATAAAACTTACGGTTCGAATCTCATCCTTTTGTTAGGCGGCATATCCTGGTATCCCTGATAGCGATCCCTGTAGTCGTTCCTGACTCTCGACCGGCCCCAATCGCTGTTGATAATTTTTATTTGTAATAAAAGAATCTCGTTAAAACAATTGTAATATATAATTGTTAAGCGGCTCACTCTTCCTTCCTCCTGTCGTTCCTGTAAGACTCGGTCCTCTCGCCCTGAAACTTGTCCCGCCGCTTCTTGTCATATTCGTCGTCCGAGTCACCCATTTTTCTTTTTCTCTTATCCAAAAGAAGAAGAAAATAAACTCGAGACAAATGGATAAAAGACCTCGGTTCAGAAAGTGCAATCCTTTGTTTTTCTAATTTTCTTTAGATCTCAAATTGAAGTACGACGAAACAGAAAGCACAACCGCGAGAAAGTTAACCAAGCTTCCTATAAACGGACATCGCGCAGGGTTGAAATTCACAGGTATACCAACACTACTCCATCACAAAATTGTTTTAATTCAAAAAGCCAAAATCAATTGTTAAAATACGCAACTTTGTTTAATTTTGTTTGAACAAATTAAAAGAATCAAGACAAAATATTATTTTTAATTAGCATTAATTATACTTCATGTATAATTCAATTTTCCCCCTTCCAACATTTCTTATTGATAAACCCAAAGTCGATCAATTGCGATATTATATATATATAGCACAAAATGGTAAAGAAATTAAAACGAGACTTAAAGAAACAAAATTATGGTAATATCTAGTTGTGTTGTAATTAATATTTTTTGCATGTTCAAAATTGAGCGGTATTAAAAACCTGCTTCTCATTGGAACGTCGCATTGGCTGCGGATCGGAGGCTTCACTCTAACAATTTACGCCGAGATATCTGTTGTTACTCCTTCACCCTGATGATGAATGTTTAATCCTCGAAATCCGATCGTTTTAAACACAAAACCTGTGAGTAAGAGCCATCCTTTTCAAAAATTATATAATATATATGATAAAGTTTGAAACTTTTATTAATCGATTAATTATCACATCAAATTCGATGTTTTATCATTGACTCGAATAGCCACGTCAGAAGGTTATGCGAAATCGCAAACACCTTGGGATTTGTGATCTGTTCAAATTGTACAATCCACTCGTCCGGTTTTGAAGCGTTGCATCGTCCTGCTGATTTGTTTTCCCGTTTCGGCCCTCTTTTCGTTTTTCCGTGTCGTCCTCCGTCTCGTTTACAACCGTCGAGTGAGAAAAAAAATTCGGTGTCATGTTAGACCTCTTCACGATATTCAGCAAAGGCGGAATCGTCCTCTGGTGCTTCCAGGGGACATCGCAGATCTTCACCCCGTCCGTCAACGCCCTCATCAAATCCGTCATCCTCCAGGTGAATAGAAAATGATTTTAGCCACCTCCACCTCCACCCCAACGTATTATGGTGACGGCGCGTCGGACGTCAAAGGCCGACCGTTCCAGACAGACGCGATATTTCAGAATATTGGAACAAACACAACATCCGCGAACCACGAAAATCGTGAACAATTTGACAAAACATACACAATTTTTTTTTTTAAACTAGAAGTAAATTTATTCAAGATTCAAAACGTCCCTGGTTTCATCATAACGGAATACGTGTTAACATATGGAACCGTGAAACTGGACGGTATCTGTTTGTATGTATGAATTTTATTCCATATAAGTTTTGATTTACAGTATTTTGTTTACATAATTGTACTCAGTTGGCTCCAGGGCATTATTGCACCTTTTTTACTAGTCTATATTAAATATAAATTATTTGGAGAGTGTGAGATGAACGTCCCAGAACAACTGTCGGAAGAGTCTTCTATCACTACCAAAATACTGGAGGTTACTCAAGAAGGCGTGGATCAGGTCGCCATCGTGCCACATCTCGCAGAGATGACCATTTCATAGTTTCAAATGTACTCTGTAATCGACATTCTACCGTTGAGATCAAGCGAAAACTTCAACAAGTTAGAAAGGTTGATTCGATTGATTTAGAAAGGTTGGTTTACGCATTGTAAGAAGCTGGATTACATGCGAGAAGACTTGCCACTCATAAAATACACTGAAAGGCAAGAAAGTGGCCACCATCATTTTTTAAAGTAAACATTGCAATCATTATAATTTTGTTTGTTGTTTACTGGATATTTTTAAAGAAAATATAATACATTGGTAAAATAAACAGTAGAATAATTTTACCAAAAATGTTGCTATGGAAACAATCCATTATGTTTAATGGTCTGATTGACCAAAGTACTTCTTCCAATTAATTATTTATCAAAGTCACGATAGCTCAAGTGGCTAGAGTAGCGGTGTATTGAGCCGAAGGTCGTGGGTGCATCCTGCACATGACGCTAGCTTTTCATTTCAACCAAGACCTTACATAAAAATAATAATTTATGGAAACAATGAAAAAAATATTCAATTCAGTAAAATTGCATTGATCACTGCATCGATTTTATTAGGTTTTGAATGTAGTGCTGCATGTTTCCATACTCCTTCTACATCCTCATTCTTAATTCCTGCAAATTCTTTGTCATTGGGTGACTTTTATTCTCTTTGACAACTCATCCCAAAGCTGTTCGATAGGGTTTAAGTCGGGACTACATATCACTCCAAAGATTGAATTTAAGCCCGTTCCAAATGGTCACCAAAGATCCTAGCTTATTAGGAACAACTTCTTGAGATAACATATATTCAATTTTTGTATAGCTGTTAAGGAACCCTGGATCAAGGTAAAGTTTATGTGACCTTCCATAAAATGCCTGTCCAAACCATAACACCACTACCTCCTTAGCTTCTCTGGAGAGAAAATTTAATAATTAAATTTAAATATCACTCTCCTGATCTTCTCCAAACCCTCTCTCATAAGACTTCAAACCAATCCTTGACTCATCTGAAAACAAGATTTTAACCCAATCCTGGTCATACCAATTGATATGATTTCTGTGGTACTTCTCTGATGTTCTGGACCAGTGGCAAGCCTTCTTGCTCGTAATCCAGCTTCTGAAAGTCTTCAACTTGTTAAGCCATTGCTTGGTTTCATTGGTGGTATGTTGATTACAAAGTACATTCGAAACAATAAAATGATCATCTCTCTCAGATGAGATACGATGGCAACCTGATCCATGCCTTCTTGAGAGTCCTCCAGAATCTTGGTAGCGACGGAAGACCCTTCAGACAGTTGTTCTGGGAATTCATACACTTGCCTTCTTTCATCTTCCAACATTGCTATGATTTTGTCGAATCTGTCTCAACCATCACTCAAACAAATTTGAAACTGAAAAATGGTACAGCTTAAAAAATCTAACCACTGGAACATTAGAAAGAAGGAACCTACATCACACCAGACCGCATCTCACGATTTCTAAATAATTATCGATTAACGGTCACTAACCACCACACGTTAGAAAGAAGCTTTACAGAAAAACCAACAAAGAAGAGATTGACTATTCAAAAATTTATTTAGAAAATCCAATTGTAAACACGAGTGGGAGATTTTAGCTGTCTGTGTTTTATTTATCTGAAATCCTTTAAAACGGACCAAATATTGTTGTAAGATAATTAATGGAGGACATACAAGAGTTTACTTTATAATACTTTTCTTACAGCTTGTGAAAATTCCAAAGTTCACCTGGCAGGTATACAATACGTATAAAGATACAACGTTCCCCCCACACACATACACTCAAATAAAATAAATAAGAATGAACTTTTTTGAATTACAAATCTTGAAATTGACAAAGTGATGCACATAATTATTTTAACATATCAGTACAAAATAAAATATTAATTTATAATCAAGTATTGAAACTTGTATGGATGTACAGTATACGGCTCGGGCTGTGCCAAAAGAATGTAATCAAAGTGCAACAATTCCAGAACAAAGTGCTACAAAATGTGGTAGATAGTGCAATAGCGACATATATAGAGACCCAAACATCCTTCATATCGGCCCGGAGATGATAATTATGATTTATTGAACTTAAGAAAAATGACAATTGTGCTTTCAAAGCATTTATTGGATCCATCTGCTAGAGGTCGTTGATTAAACAATCAGAAAAAACAAAACTGAATGAAGAAAGATAATATCTAAGATCTCACACAGTATGCTTATAAGCACTATTTGAAAGCCATCTGAACACCATGACCACATAAGACGTCTGAAGGAGAATTTGATTTAGTTTTGTAGAAACTTCATGTAGAAGCTAATTTTATAAACTGTGTCAATAATGAGTGTACTAAAGTTATTTACTATTTATTTACTTCTAAGTTAGTCATTGTATTAAAATTAATAGCTGTTCTCATGTGACCAGTTTTATTAAATAAATTTATTTTTTTTAAATCTTCCAATTAGACAATGGGTTCAGTTTTAAAATTTAACATAAAATCTTTGGAAAATCTGCGTCTTGTAGTAATGTCTTAAAATACAATTTAATTAAAAAATATAATCAGAATTTGTACATGTTTTGATGAATTATTGATTTATTTTGTATTACTTATTTAAATGTTATTAATATTTCCTTCTCATGACACTGTTTAATATATAAAATTAATTTCTGTTTGGCGGTTTTTTTGTACACATTTTTTTCCACAATACAAATTGTGTATGCTAAATAACGTTTCTGTATGTATTTAAATTGAATTTTAGTAGGAAGTTGTGGAGGAGTGCTACATCGCTTTCCACACTCTATTGTTATTTGTAATGTACAAAAATCTTGAAAATAAACATTCAATCATTCTTTCATATAAAATTAATAACAAACAAGATTTAATATACACCATTTCTTGAAATAAGAGAGAAATAAACAAAATAAAGGATAATTAAATGTAATACTTATTTAAATATGTTTGGCTTTTAATAATTATTGTTTTTCACGTACACCCCACATTATTCGATATTATTTAATATGACAATAATTTTGTATGTAATTTTCTGTTTTAGGAGAAGACGGGTAATAACTCTTTTGAGCACAACTCGCTTACACTCAAGTATCGGTTAGATAACGAGTTTGAGCTTGTTTTTGTGGTTGCATACCAGAAAATCTTACAGCTATCATATGTCGACAAGTTCCTCGACGATGTCCACTTGGAATTTCGAGACAAATATAAAGACGAACTTCAAGGCGGGAGCACATATGGAGACTTTGATTTTAATGATGGTTTTTTATCTGTACTTAACCGGGCGGAGGAGTGGTCTAAGAATCTCTCCTCAGTCCCAAAACCGATGCGTAGTTTTGAAGAATCGGGTAAATCTAAGAAAACAGTCGCTTCGATGATCGAACGTAAAGATGATCCAAAAAAGAAAAAAGAAGAAATTAAAAAAAAGGAAGTTTTTCCAGAACAGCCGAAAACAGAAAATGGCAATTTGAGCGAGGAGGAACTCATATTGGCCAACAGGGCTAAGATGGCCTTAAAAATGGGTTCTCCAAACCAAAAAAAGAATAAAATGTATGCATTTGTGTTAAATGAGTTTTGTGATTATGATGATGAATTATTATTTTTAATTTTTTTCTTTAGGAAAAGCCCAAAACCAGCAAAAGAGGGAAAGAAACCACGCATCTGGGATCTTGGTGGTAGCACAAAAGATCTACCAGATCTTGAGAGGACAAAAGATAAACCTCCTGAATCTAATGAAGTCAAGGCTGATGTTTCTGTAAGTATTTTAATGATTTTCTCCTTCCAACATTTAAATTTTTTAATGTTTTTCTGCCCCGAATTGAGTACAATTTAAACATAAATAAAAGAAAACATGAATATTGCTTTAAATATAATTTATTGTATAATAAATTACTGTAACATTAATTTGTCAATTTCTTTGATATATTAGATGGTTGGCAGGATGGTGGGAGGCATTAAGGATCTTGAGGTCGAATCTGATTCTGGGGATGAGACAGAGGAAGAGGAAGAAAATGAAACAAAACTTGCGAAGAAGACTGAAACCAAGTCCAGAGGCGTTTTTTCACTTTTTAGGTTTGTTGGTACTTTTAATTATATATATTTTTTGTAACTTGTGTTTTTTTAAAGGGGGCTTGTGGGAAGTAAGAGCCTGACGAAGAATGACATGTTACCTGTGCTTGAGAAACTTAAAGACCACTTAATTGGAAAAAATGTCGCTTCTGAGATAGCAAACAAGCTCTGTGATTCTGTCAGTGCTAAATTAGAGGGCAAGGTGCTTGGAACATTTGAGAGTGTCACAAACATTGTGAAATCTACAATGACCGAGTCACTCGTTCAGATACTGTCGCCATCACGGAGGGTGGATATACTTCGTGATGCCAAAGAGGCGAAGAGTGAAGGGCGACCTTTCACAATGGCCTTTTGTGGTGTAAATGGTGTAGGCAAATCGACCAACCTGGCTAAAATATGTTTCTGGCTGATAGAAAACGATTTGAGCACTATGATAGCGGCATGTGACACTTTCCGTGCAGGTGCAGTTGAACAGCTTCGTACACATATGCGCCACTTGAATGCCCTCCATCCTCCAGAGAGGCATGGCGGAAGACAAATGGTCCGCCTATATGAAAAAGGTTATGGAAAAGATGCTGCTGGCATTGCTATGGAAGCCATTACACATGCAAAAGAATCAAAAGTTGATATTGTGCTCATTGACACAGCAGGGCGTATGCAAGACAACGAACCATTGATGAAAGCCTTAGCAAAGGTATGCATTTAATTACAAACAACCAATCAAAGGTTATTTTGCTTAAAAAATTTATTTGTTATAGCTTGTTCGTGTTAACGAACCTGACCTCGTACTTTTTGTCGGAGAAGCTCTGGTCGGAAATGAAGCTGTGGACCAGTTAAGCAAGTTTAATCAGTCTCTGGCTGATTACTCATCATCGACTCAGCCTCACCTCATTGACGGAATCGTTCTTACAAAATTTGACACAATCGATGATAAAGTCGGAGCTGCCATCTCAATGACATATATGACAGGCCAACCAATAGTGTTTGTCGGCACAGGGCAGACATATACCGACCTCAAATCGCTCAATGCAAAAGCAGTTGTGCACGCTCTTATGAAATAGAGCGGTCGATGCAAATTGTGAGTTGTTATTATTTTTAAATTATTATTTTAACATTCTGTTTTGGCTTGTGTAAGTATTAATGGAAAATAAATATTGTTAATAAATTAGTGTTATTCTTGGATATATTTTTTATATATACCTTCTCTTTATTCATCAGTTAATTTAAAAATTGTTCAAATATTTAGTCAAATATATTCTTTATTACATTTGTATATAACATATGCTCTCCCTCTCTCTCTCTCACATGCACATGTGCTCAATAAGTGAATCGGATACGTAGTTTATATAAAGTTACTTTCAATATGCATTAACACTTCTGTTACTGGTGTCATTGCAGAACGACTCAAGTCAACTTGCATTACTCTTCAAAAACTCATATTTCGGGAGTGGTATTACAATTCACTTTTGTAACAAATGTGTTAAAAGGGTATTGAAAAGTATTAAATATTTTAACAGTGGTAATATTATCAAATGAAGGGGTGGCCTATAATTTTATGCCTGAGTTTGTAAATATTTTTGAATTAGATTTGTATGACAAGCCAAGAGAATCAAGTGTAGTTATGTATCTCAGCCCCATAACCAGTACATGCAGATTTTTTTAATCTAACTACTTTCACTGGAAATGGAGTACTTGTTATCACCCTATACACAAATTGCGCAGGACTAATTGATGGCCGATGTGGGCCAATTAATTAATTACACAATAAATTTGTCTCCCTCATCCTAATCAAACACTCAATCCAATAATTTAATACAAAGTTACTATTACATCAAAAATATTTACTGTAAATGGTTCATACCACAAACTGGTAACAGGGCTCATACGGACGGCATTCCTCTCACAATCCATATGCATTTGTATACAGTACATAATAACAGTACGAGTGACACATCTAACAACTTTTTTCTACATCAGGGTTTGTATAAAAATTGACAACCGTAATAAAGACTGACATTTAATGTGGTAACAATTTAATTTATCTAATAAAATTAATTATTTTAAGCATTATTTATTTTATAGTGAATCGATTATATGTATTTGAAAAACTCAATATATGCAAATTTACAATTAAATTTTATAATTAAAATCTGAAAATCCAACTAAATTATAAAAAAATTACCTTGTGAAATTCTTTACTAAAATTTTTTATTCGATTTCAAAATGTTTTGTAGGATGAAATAAAATTGAAAACAATGATTCAAAGATCCGCTTTGCACACAGCATTACAGTTTTACCCTTGCCTGAGGATGGTAAAAAAAATTTGGCCATTGGACTTTAGATCCGGGTAGTCTTATAGGCACTTTGAACATTCGGTACAATGAACTTTGTTCATGAAAAGTGAGTGTTGGAACCGAGCGGATCAGCAGGTGTCTAATGTAAAATTTTAGGCAAAAAATTTCTTGTAAAATTTTAAGCAACAATAGTATAAGAACTTGGACGAAGCGCATTATAGAAAAGATCGACCCTCAATTCATTTACTAAATATTGTAAAACCATAAAAATTATGTAGTTTCATGCTGTTTTCATGCTTACAAAAGTATTTTAAAAAAATGATTATTTGGAGATCATGAGATGCGGTCTGGTGTGACATAGGTTCAGAAAAACATTTTATCATGCCAATATTTTGATCTTTATTGAGATAATCTTCAGGGCCTGGGATTTATAAACATTTTTGTTGTTTTTTTATGAACCAAAGTCACACCAGACTGCATCTCATGATCTCCATATAATCATTAATTAACGGTCACTAAAACTACACATTTTTAAAAAGAAAAATGCAATTTTATACATAAAACCACAAAAACAAACAATTTCATGCAAAAACGTGGTCAAATAAGAATAGTGTAAAAAAAAAAGGACGTCCTTTCTATGATTAAAATTTCTGTCCTGGTTTCATTGGGAATACAGAATCCACTGATGACTTTTGGGTAAAGTATATTCAATTCCATAAACAGAATCACTTACTTTCCATTACAAATTTTAACATAAGGTAATAAATAAATAAGAAAAATTAACCATATCCACATATATTTGTTGTTTGTTTTATATCTGTCTCTACATCTACATAATTAATTTAGTGCCTCTTTGCTGGCGACTCTAAATATAAATAAAATCAATTTTGTTCTTATCCCCAACATAATAAAATAATATGGAAAAATTGTTAAAATATTGTTAGAAGTATTTTTTTGCCTTTTACATGATTATTTTCTCATTTGCTTTAAACCAGGATGGCGCTGTTTCAAAAGTGAAGATATCTGGGATGATATCCTTTAGAAGATCCCTTAAACATTAACAAAAAGGAAATACATAATTAAAATATTGGTTTACATTTCAAAAAGTTATACATAATGCATGATAATCCGAACTAATAATTCCAAATGTTGGTTCAGATAAGAGAAAATTCAAATTAGCAGGAAAACATGTATAATATTTATATATGCAGTACCCAACAATCATCACAATGATGATCAGACCTTTTTAAAAAGATAGTTCCTACTCACAGTAAGTTTTTTTTGTAACGATCCGGATTCCGAGCCCTTAGCTCATCATCAGGTTGAAGGAGTTCTACAACCACGTCTCTCGAACTCCTGATGAGCTAAGGGCTCAAAATCCGAACCGTTGCAAAACAACTTACTGTGAGTAGGAACTATCTTTTTAAAAAGGATTGAACACTGCACTCACTCCACCATTCATCATTTCTAATGATGATCAGATTTTAAAGATACATGCATTCAGATGTCAAATTAAAATAATGACGTGCATATTATAAGTTGAAATTTAATAGTAAATTATTATTTATTTGGATATCGTGAGATTCTGTCTGGTGTGACATAGGTTTAGAAAAGCATTTTCTTTATTGTGCCAATGTTTCGATCTTTATTGAGATCATCTTCAGGACTCAAAGTGTCTTTGTGCCCCCTCTCAATACTGCACACAGTAATGACACATCTACACAGAAAACAAACACTTTGAGCCCTGAAGATGATCTCAATAAAGATCAAAACGTTGGCACAATAAACAAAATGTTTTTCTAAACCTATGTCACACCAGACCGCATAGTACAATCTCCAACTAATCATTTATTAACGCTCACTAAACACTACACACTTTACTAGTAAAAAAAATTAATTTAAAGGGATATGTTCAGGAATTCCAATTCCAAAAGAGGACAATCAAAAGATATTACAGTTTTTCTTGTAGTTGGGCAGTAGAAGTACAAATAGACTCAATTCAAATTAACGCAGGTTCGGATTACCGTACATATTTAAAACCGCATACCATGTCTCTTTATCAGCAAAATGGTGTACTTTAGGCTGCTCAAATCCATTGAAATTTGTTGAAGTCGTGATCGTGTAAGCACCCATGTTGTCAAATATTATCCAATCTCCAAGTGACATCTCTGGGAGTGGAAAATTCTGGGTGATCAAATCAAGCGAGTCGCATGTTGGTCCCCAGATTGTGCTTTTGTGCATTGGTCCTGAGTGTTTCTAAAGACAATCCGTTTAAAATAAAAAACAGCAAGAGTAAATTATAATAAGAATTAATTTAATTATTATGAAAAGTATGGTTGAGTTGAAAAATTAGTGTCACGAGCGGGACTCAAACCTCTGGAACAAGAACCCCATAGCAGAGGTTGTTTGTTCAAGTAATTACTTTGGTTAATAGAACCAACAAAAACATAATAGATTAACATAATAATTAATATTGTTAACAAATTTACCTTCAACGGTATAGGCAAGACTTCTGCTTTGTCAAAAAGGAGACAGTTAAAAGAGCCATAGAGGCCATCATTAATGTAGTACATATGTGATGACTTGTCAATTCTCTTTGAATGTATTCTGGTAGCAAGAGTGTATGCGTTGGTGACAAAGAAGCGCCCTGGCTCGGCAATAAAAGAACCTTTGAAAAAAGGGAAGTGTTCACAGATTCCCTCGAGAACTGAGGATGACATCTACAATACCCATTACAAGGATTTATTAAGTTTTAGTTCAACATAAATGAACCAAGACATTATTGACTTACATTTTCAAAGGATTCCTTTGTAAATCCACCCCCAATATCAATAAGCTCAATGTCAAAGCCATAGTTCCTGCATTGTTCATAAACGTCCTTGGCATAATCAAGTGCCCTCCTAATTTGAGAAGAAAATTATTTAAAGTATTAAAAATATAACTCATATTAAAAAGTCAATGTTACTTGTATGCTTGATTTTCTCTGCAACCTGATCCGACATGGAAGCTCACCCCTATGATGTCAAGATTGAGGGAGGAAGCGAGCTTGATCAAGGTGTGTGCCATATGCGGCGCTATGCCGAATTTGAGCCCCATGGCTGGACACTGTGAATCGGCTGCATCGGCACAGATCCTAAGGACGAGCTTCGCGTACGGATGGTATTCTCTGATCTTATAAAGCTCACTGCATGAGTCAAATGTCATGAGGTTGACACCGACACTTTTAGCATAGCGCAAATGCGATATCTGTTTCACAGGATTGGCGTATATTATACGCTCTGGTTTGACTCCAAGAGAAAGCACCTTGCCAATCTCACCCTTTGAGGCACAGTCAAAATTGGTTCCGAGTGCACTCAATACTTTCAAGACAATTTCAGAATCATTGCATTTAACTGCATAATATGGCTTAATATTTGGCAGAGTATTAACCCAGGCTTCATACTGTTTCACGATATCTTTGAGATTCATCACAAAAAACGCATCCTCCTGATTCTACATGATGAAAATATAAATAAATATATGAAGGATAAAAATGTAAAAAATAAAATAACTTTGCTTATATTTATTTGATTGACAACTCACCGGCGATGATGTTATATCTTCAATGATTTTCCAAGCATTTCTCCCATCCTGAATCACACTTACAGCATTATTAGCAGGAATCTTCATTTTTTTTATTTAATGAATGGTCAAATTAAAGAACAAAAATGGTTTCTTTTTATATATCAAGAGGCTCCAGCAAACTGAAAACAAAATAAATCGTTTAAAATACGTTGGGCTTTATTTACACATGTCAACCGGGGGAACATACGAGGCGGTCGTGGAAGCTGGGAGAACCCGTTTTGAAGTTCAGTGAGTATCCCAAGGAGGGTCTACGTTAAGGCTAAGCAACCAGAAGCCAAAGCGATACAGCGTACCCTGTAAAAACCATTTAACAATTATTATACTAAATAGGTTTTGTACAACAAAACAAAACAATACTAGTTAACCACTTTATTTAGGCAATAAGACAATGTATTAGAAAAATATACCCCAGAAATGTCTGTAAAAGAAAATTAACCTTTTATTTAATTTCAGAAAGAAATTTAAATGTTACAAAAAACCTTGTTTTAATTTGTGACGAGATATTTTATTACATATTTTAGTGTTATGTAATATAAAGCTGTAAATATTTGGAAATTTTACATATAAAACCGTGATACACAAAACATAAACAAATTGATTAGCTCTGTCATAATTAATTATTGGTAAAACTGCATAAAATGCAATAAAATAAAGTGACATTAAGATGATATATTAGAATATATTTTGTTTGATTTTAACTCTACATCAGGGTTTAAATCAAAAATCAGCAATCATAAAAAAAAAATTCCAAAGAAGACCTTTGAAATCATTATCTTCAGACATATCAAACTTGTTTCCAATTTGATAAGATAGTTTATCCTTATTTTATAGCATGAGTTTTATCTTTTATAAATTAAGGTTCACCTTATAAAGAGGGTCAAATGTGAAAAACCCAAACCCTCAGTTAACAAATATAAACTTCAAAATGAATATTGATTTAAAAAATCAAAACTGCATGACAACTATTACAGACTGTTGAAGGTAATTTTATTTAAAATGTTTCTGATATAATTTATTAACAAGCCTTTCTTAAACAATGGATTCTGTTTTACCCATACAAAACAGTTTTTATAAATGTGATAGATAATTTTTTGAAAATGCATTTTTAAGAAAAGCCTGTTATTCAGTCAACAAGCGAAAAATAGAATTATGTAACCACACAATTAATTTAATTAGCATAAATAATAAAATTAGTAATATAACGTCTATTAAACCCAAGGTGAAACAGGAAGGGAGGAGGTGCAAGAGTGAAAATTAGAATTGTAATCTTATCAGAAAAAGACTTAGAAATTTAATCAGAAAATCATGATAAAGCGTAAAACAAATATGAGATAACTAACTAGGACTTGTTTTCCCAGCATTTTAGGAAAATGCAGGCGAAGGTTGGCAAGTCGAATATTCATTTTCATACACCGGAAAGGAAAATATTAAGTTATATAAACATATAGGGGAAAAAAAGTTTTTTACATTTCATAGGTCTGCAATGATATAATTAAATAGCTTGGTTTTGTTTTAACCCTAAAGTAAGAAAAGAAAGTGAGATAAAATACATTTTTATAATTCTTTTATATCTGGTTAATTTGTAGATATTCTGGATCTTTACTTACTCCACTATATTAAAACACGGATATAGAAGAATAAAAGGATCTGCGAAGGACAGGGGACATATCAAAAGCGCTGGAATCGCAGAGATAAAAGTGAACCTCAAGATTTTCAAATCTCCTTTTATTACTTTATGATTTTATTAGTTTGTCAAAGAATTACAGCATATAAAAAAAGAAAAATAAGATTTTTTTCTTTGAAGTTCGTTTTTAATTCTGAAACTAATTATAACCTTTATGACATCATTATGACGATACCTTTTGAAAACACTGGAAAACTGAATTTGAAAAATGAAATTTTATAGTAAACACGTATGCAAGATGAAAACTGACAAAAGATGATTGTCAAAGATCACCCTGCTTCGCCTGTTGGTCTCAGCCACATTTCATCATTTCTTTGTGTCATTTCATTAATCGTTCAACTAGTGCAAACTAGCACTAAACAATAATAATAATGTGAAAAATTTAGAGGCAGACAATAAATTAACATAAACGCAATACCTGACACAAACATAGAAGTCTGGGCACATTCACTTCCCTGGAGTACTCGTTAATACATTCTAGCTAATAACTTACTTTTACTCTCCAGACGTCACCACAAAGTACTTAATATTTCTAGGACTGGAGTTAAACAACTACTTTTCTCACGCTAATAAATTGCATTTATTCCAAAAAATTAACATAAACACAGCTCCCGATACAAACATGGACGACTGGTAACATTCACTTCCCCAGATTATTTATATACCTCATCGGCTGGGTTAAACCACTACATTCTCGCTAATAACTTACTTTTACTCTTCAGACATTACACACTCACCCCAGAATACTCAATATTCCTCAGGGCGGGGTTAAATAACCGCTTCCGTTCATGCTAATAAATTACATTCATTCCTATATACATATTAACAAACACAACATTCGACTACTGCAAAGTGCCAACAGGTGTTGCGTTTCAGGCATGTGCTACCAGGCTGACACGAAAGTAATTTTACTAGCTTATTGATAAACAACACAGAATTGATTCAAGTCGGGCAAAGATGATAATAGTTGTGCCTGGTTCAAACTACCACTAAAATTAATTAACATTAAAACTTAGATATGGTTGTACGAAATAAACAACAATGTTTTTTCTTTTGACCTTAAATAACCAATTGTTTTTATTCAGGCTTCAAACTCTTTAGGCACGTTTAAACAAAAGATAAAACCACCTGTACTCAACAATTATCTCATTTTATAACGGAAATAATTAAAAACGTCACTCTACCAGTGTTCAAGTAACAATTTTATAAAATTGGAAAAAGGTGCAAAGATTATTTATTATTTAGTAGGGGATTTAAATTACACCTCAATTTGACAGAAAAATTTAAAAAACTGTTTGAAATGTCGTACTTTTAATTAATAAACAATTAGAAATGATTTTTTTTCTTCAATATTTTAATTGTAGTAAAAAAATATTCAAAACAGGTAATGAGAAAATTTATTTAACCTGTTTGATGGCTGTTATAAAATTTCAAAAATTAGGTCGAAAAACGTGTTTAATTTTTTCGTTTTAATTTCTAATAAATTTTACTTCCCTTTTTGGGAAAATGGGGGGGGGGTGATAATGCCATGGAGCCAGGATAGGGCACACTCCGTAGAATTTATTATTTTCAAATGAAATGTATTTTAAAAAAATGAATAAATAAATAAATAAAAATAAAACAGAACGTCTGTAGAAAATAAAATAAAAATTGAAAATAAATAGAGCATGGGTTCCGATTTGCAATGGAGGAAGTGATTGGGTAAAAGAAGGTAGGCGTTTTATCAGAACAAGATTAAAAAACAATTTAAGCCAAGGAAAGATACTTTTTTTAAGAGTTAGGTTTAAAAAATAAATAAAAATAAAATGAGTTAACTTGTACAAGTAAGTCAACGTGCAAATCCTTGGCTCACCTTCACTTGGAATCCGCCGCCTTGAATTTCTAGGACTGGAGGTGGAATTGTGACTGATTTGAATCCAACTCGAGTTTCCAGATAGATCAAACCGTTTGCCGGGGGGGCGAGTCGAGACTTGAGAACGTCCTTTGAATTAATCTTCTGTTCCTCTTTTCCTTCCCAACTTTCGATGTGATGGCAAGGATCAAGAGATGACAGACGAACAATGGGCCGGGATAGTAGATGGAGATCAGGACAGACGTAAAGAAGTGAACGATACCTCCCCGTATTGATTTGTTCTTGACGTCCAGGTTGGGAAACGTGACGTCGACAAATTTCCCTACGACAAACAACCTCAAGACCAACAACCATCCCGGAAAGCTTAAAATTTCTTTAAAATCAATTTTTCTTTATTATATAGACAATAATATAAAAATAAACACGCATTTTCACTTATAATCATACCTTTACCCTTTACGTCCACATGGGATTCGTTTTTGGTCTCTTTCTCATAAAATTAAAAGACGAGAAGCTAGGGAAGTAGCACAACAGTATTTGTGAGAGAAAGCGCTCATTTCTCTATTTTATACCAACGGATAAACCCACACTTTTCATTACTGGTGTTTCCTCCTTTTTTACTTCTCTTTTAGCAGAAGAGCAAGCACAAGAAGTGCTCCTGTTTCCTCGGGTTCTAATATCATACTGCCCTCCCAATAGTCCCAATCCCAATGAGAAGAGAGGTTGATTTCGCAATTCGGACTCGGTTCTTCCGCCTGTACTTCGTAACAAATTGTCCATACAATCCCCCTATCCATGTCATTATAGGAATGCACTGTCAAAATTTCAGCCCTTCAGATCCAGCAGTCTGTCAGTCAGTCACGGAACTGATCTAATTTATATAGATAGGAATGGAATTTTTATTAAGATATCGCACACCTACAATAAAAGTGACACCACTCAACAAAAGAAAATTTTGCAGGATAGGCAAATGGAAGTTTCCTTTTTTTTCCTTATGCATTAAGTATACGCCATTACGGCTGTTGGCAACAAAAACAGTCATGATCCATCAATATTGTCTTTCGTTTCTCCAAAATACCGTGCCAAGACACACTCGTTATAAGACAAACAGATAGCACACAAATTACAGATTGATACCAAAAACCAATGAACACTTATCACTACTGATTATTTGAAGGTCGTGAGATGCAGTCTAGCGTGACGTAGTTTTTAGAAAAACATTTTCTTTATCGTGCCAACGTTTCGATCTTTATTGAGATCATCTTCAGGGCTCAATAAAGATAGAAACGTTGTCACGATAAAGAAAATGTTTTTGTAAAACCTACATCACACCAGACCGCATCTCACGACCTACAAATAATCAAGTAACGGTCACTATACACCACACACTTATCACTACCTCAATTACACATCACACCACCCTTTACACACAATATTAAACACGGCTAAAGGATTATTACACAGAAATCTCTAAATCCTTTCACCTAAAAAATATTCAAACATACAAACGAATCTTACATAACAACAATTACCCTGAAAACATAATCAACAGAATCATAAACAATTATAACCCAGCACTATGCAAAACAACATCCTCTACAGTACACAAAACACATCATCAACTCAATCACACAAAGACAAACCTATACACATGTCCATTCCATTCACACGTTGTCACACAAGTTAATTTCTCTCCTCAGAACACATTAAAATAGCTTTTAAAAACCACAAAACAGTACACACAGTTTTTTCCAAAGTCAAAGACACGACCCCAACAGCCTACAAATCCAATGTAATTTACAAAATTATCCAGCTACATACATTGGAATTACATCGCAATAGCTGGAAAAACGGAAAAAAAAACATAAATTATTTAAAACACCAAATACCAATTTGAAAAACAACACAACTTTGATTTTGACAAAACACAAATACTAAATACTGAAAAAATATAAAAAGAACAGAACACAAATTCATATTTCAGAACAGTTTCACACAACACCAATGTGATACCACGAGAATAGAGCCACACTTTATGTGAGTATGAAATAGTTGGTTCAAAGTTTGTATTTACATCTATGTTGGATTTATCCAATTTACATACGTTTTGCAGTTCACACAGGCCCTGAAGATTAGACGATTAAAGGTCGAAACGTAGACAGAAAAATGCAAAAGGTGTTTTTCTAAACTACCTCCTTCTTGACCGCTCCTCACGAAGTCAACGAATTATTAAACAACCGGTCCTAAAAAAACACCTATTACGAAAAAAATATTTTTACCATTGATTTTACAATTGTTTTTCATAATGTGAAAATGTTACTCCGGTTCAGCATAAAATCCTTCATTTAAAAAAAACAAAAAACTGTGAAAAGTGACAGTACGTTCCCGTCCCGCCAATTCAAAAGGGACACATGGTGCTACCTAGTAGCTAAGAGTCCATCTACAGTTGTGTCATTTTTCCTGTAGCATCATACACACCCGAATCCTTCAAAAAACTAAATAATCCGGTTTTTATAATTTTTCAACTTGTATCACTTTTCTTGTGCGATATTGTATTTTCTTTTTGATGATAATTTCAAAACTGAAAAGAAATTGAAGTTTAACCATGTTGCTACCGTTATTTTTTTCGTGCCTTTCATTATTAAAATAATGTGATTATTTATTTAACCAAATATTTTTATCTGAACTTTTTTTAAAGGTATTTGTTTATTTATTTATTTTTTTTTGTTAGCTTGGTTTGAGAGATATTTGGAAGAACGATATCCGCTGTAAAACGATCTTCCGAATCGATAACGCGGTAGTTCGCTTCCCTTTATCGATCCGAGTCGAGTCAAGAGTCAAGACTCAACTACTCGACCTCAAGTGACATTCGTCCTCCTAACCAGAAAAACAAAATAATAATTATCTAATAATAAAGTTTAATTATCATTCCTTCCCGTTGGAAGGTTGTTAATAATGTGTCATCGTTCCGTCGCCGCGAGGTCGTCCGTACTTTAAAACCGGCCTCCCGAGCCCTGGTCTTCCTCAAAAGTATACAGGAAGTGGCGAGTCTTCCAGGAAGTCGTCTAGCTATGCGTTGATACTTGGTGAGTCCCGGGTGGCATATCCTCGGTGAAAATGTTTCAGAGAACAATAGCCCAAAATGGTCGTGTCGATATGAAAAACGTTTTTATCGGATTTCCTGCCGATAAAAACCGTATATGATAACTGCTTTTTGCCCCCCTGCAAAGCTCAGAATTATGGAATTTGCAAAGGATTTCGAATATTTCAAGTCTTTGACACTGATCAGAAAGTAATATTGTTTGACTTTGCAACCTGTTGCTCTTCTATTCTTCTTAATAATTTATTTTCCGATATCATTTGTCATTCACTTTCCTGTTCTCTTGTCACATTCAGTCTACTAACATAATTATTTCCGCTTTGACATTTCAACATTTCTCTCAGGATCTCATAATCTCAAATATAAATTGATGGGGTGTCATTCGTTTCGATGGGATCTTTCAAACCGTTTTCTGATTGTAGGCATGATGAAAATCTTGAGATGGCGTCGAAGAACGAAAGGAGTAAGGACGAATCGTCAAGGATCAAAGTCAGACTCCCGAACGGGACGTACCAAACCGTCCGATACAATGACTGCGTCGATGTTAAGGTTAGTTAATCAATCCAGTTTTTAATTTTAATCAATTAATTTTGTTTATTTATTGTTAAGACGATAATTTCTGGCGTGACCGGCACGCTCGATGGTACGAGACGTCGGACAGAATGCTATGGCTTGCGCCTCAGGAACTCGTCTGGGGAGGTCTTTTGGCTTCACCAGGATACGAGTATGGGAAAGGTTACCCAGAGGTATAAGGATGCTGATGAATGCTCGTATGAACTCAGGATACGTTTCGTTCCACAGTCACTTGAAGAGTTGTACGATGAGGATAAATTTACTTCATTCCTTTATTTTGACCAGGTGATAATATCTTTATATCCTTTCAAGCATTAACTTGAACTAATTAACAAGATCTATCATTTAGTTGTTACTCTTCACCTCTGTTTTGTGTCACACATTAAAAAGAAAGTCTCTTCTGCGAAGATGGCCCTCAATACTGTTTGGGGCCTTGCGCAAACATGATCCTTCCTTTCAAAAAATATCAGCTTTTTAACTTGGTGGCTAGATCTATTTCCTGGTATGGATTACAAATTTGGAGATTTGAGAATCTAGAAAAATTATTAATCTTTTTCATAAAGAAGTTGTTTGCTTTTTCAATGATCACTCCCAATTTTATATTATTATATTATTAGAAACTAATATAGTCCTGCTGGAGATTTTCACTTTAAAATTGCAGGTCAAGTACTGCCTCAAAATTATAATCCTACCATCATTTTGACTTCTGAGAATATTAACAATTGAATTAATCAATAGGAAATCTTCATGTATCTTTGGATGGAGCAACTGTCCATGTTATTAATTAAAATTGGTGTGAATCATAGGGATAGGGATAAAAGAGGCGGCTAGAAGGCCTACTGCTGCTCGACCTGAATAGATCTATTGTGCTCCCCTGTTAATAATAACTCACTGGCCAGCTTCAGGTTATTAATCAGCCTCCACTGCTTTGCCAGCGGCTCCTTAGTGTAGTATCTTGCTTGTGGTTGATGTCCGAGAGGATCAAAGTCATGATAGCTCAAGTGGTAGAGCAGTGGCGTTTTTAGCCAAAGGTCGTGGGTTCAAATCCCGTGCCACTGACTTTTTTATCTCAACCAATGCCTTACATAAAAAGAATAATTAATTGAAAGAAGTAACTTGGTCAATTGATATAAACGGATTGATCATATTAATTATACTTTTTATCTAAGGTCATGGTTGAGATGGGAAAGCCAGTATCACAAACTGGATTTGAACTCACTACCTTCTGCTAAAAAAAGGAAAATTTGTAGGTTGAGATGAAGAGTTGGTGTCTGAGTTTTCGAAGTATTAGAACACCTACGTATTTAGCTAAAGGTTGTGGGTTTGAATCCCCATATGACACTAGCTTTTTCATCTCAGACATAGTCTACTAAATATGTGTATGGATTAATATATTAACTAACTATAATAATATCTTAACTAATTGACAAGATGAAATATGTAGTTTGGGTTTTTCTATCAACCCATTACCTGCACCCATTATCCTCATGTTTCAACATTAAGTCTCTAGTCTTCATTAATATGTTTGTTTCTATTAGTTGTGCCCTTTTATAATGTTTTGACACTTCATTAGGAGATATTAAAAGATATTTTTAATTAATTAATTTTTTAGTTGAGATAAAATAGTCAATGGCACGAGCGGGATACAAATTTTTAATTAATAATAAGGTCTCCTGCAAATTGGTTTCTCCAATAATATCATGATATAGGCAGCATTTTCAAATCCCGATTACATTAAAAGAATGTCATTTATTTGAGTGTAAAAATTGGTGCATTATATTTATTAAATGATAGTAATCATCATAGTAAAAGATTAATTATTTATATTTTTGAAAGTTAGATTGGAATAATTCACTAGATATTTAGAAACACTGAAAACAATTTTTAATATTCATACTCATTATTTAGATTACTTGATTCATTAATAATGGCCCAACATATTTTTTAAGGTGAGATTTGATTACTTGGAAAGCGCTGAGGCCTCTAAGATTGAGCTGGACCTGGCTGTTACATTGGCTTGTTTATGCATCCGACACCACTTCCGCGATGTACCAGGAATGAGCCTGGAGAAAAAATCCAACTTGGAGTACCTCGAGAAAGAGTTGGGCCTTCGTAGATTTTTCCCACAGAAGATACTTGACACTCAGAAATCGAAAACGCTTAGGAAGCTACTCCAGGCAAACTATAAGAAGATTGGACAGTCGACGGAAAAAGAATACCTTACGCATTTTTTTCGAGCCATGCTCGGTGTTTTCCGTTATGACGAGGAGCGATTTCAATGTTCTTTAGGGGTAAAAAGTCGCATAATTCCATTCTAATCTTTGTGTTACTATTGTTTAATGGTTTGTTGTTTAGTCTGGATGGTCTATTCCTGTCGAACTGGTTGTTGGTCCTAATTCAGGAATCGCCTATATTAACCACCGTTCTACTACAGTAAGTAATAAAACTTAAGTTTACATTTAATTAACTATTATTGATACCAAATTACAAATACATTTTTTTAAATTACAGCCAGTAAAAATGGCAGATTTTGGAAAAGTTGAGAATCTTCAAACACTCTATTCCGACTGTACTTCCCATCCAAAGGCGCTTGTGCGACTTGCTGTTTCGGAAACAAGCGATCCGCTCACTATAACTTTCTCATCGCTTGCTGAGGCTGAATCACTTGCACACCTGCTAGACGGCTATTGGCGGCTCTCTGACACTTCGAAACTGAATCCAGACAAGAAGAAGAAAGACTTTATTTGGGACCGAACTGGTATTTTTCTTTCATTATTCCCTACTCTAATAATAATTTAATGTTCAATTTATAAAAGAATTCAGATCTATTTCACCTTTCTTTCTTTTAAAAAAGCTGCCGTTTGGAAACGATTTCCTTGTCATTGTGTTCAGAAAGGTAAATGTTAATTGATCAATACAAATGAATGTTTGAATTTTGGAATTTGCCTTGTATCCTTGTCATATAATTGTGTACCGTTATAATTGTATTGACTTTGTATTTTTACAGATTTAAAGAAGTCAAAAGAGAAGGATGGAAAGACGAAAAGTATTACATCTGAAGACTATGCCGAAATAGCTGATGAGGATGGGGATTATTCTACTCCCGGAGGTAAAGATAAGCACATTACAATTTAATTAACGTTAATAATTTAAATTATTTAATTGTTTACACACACTACCAATATTTAATCTTTAAAAAAAGTATTAAGTTACATTTTTAAAAGTAGATATTTAAAAACTACACTTAATAAATAAAGTAAAATAGTTGCAGTTTCGTAAATTGTATTTTGTGTTTTAACAGCTAAAAACTATGAGCTTCGACGCAGTCAAATTGAGCTGGGAGAAATAATCGGGGAGGGTCAGTTTGGTGATGTACACCGTGGTACCTGTACCACAGCTAAGAATACCAAAATACAAGTGGCAGTAAAAACCTGCAAGCCAGATGCTGATATGACTATCACAGAAGTTTTTCTAGAGGAAGCTTGTAAGTGCTTTAATTAAGTTCGAATTAATTGTTTTTTGTGTGGTGTTAATTGTTTTTGTTGACTCTGTTATGTAAGCATGATGAAAGACCTGGGATTTAATTTTGAATTAACTGTTCTTTAAATCAAATTGGATTTTTAATCTCAAATAAAGCTATTAAAGTATTAGGTTTTATACACAGGAATACCAAGCATTTTTCTGGTATAAATTGTGCCAAATTACTCTATTGCTCCCTGGTTTGCTCTCCAAAGGACTATGGATTATACTATATTACACTGAATTATCCTATAGGATACATAAATTTATTGTAAAATGTGCTACATAGGTTCCTGAAACTTTTAATCATAGCATAAAGATCATAGCAAGAAGTCCCTTCCCCCAAGACTCTCTAAAACAATGTATAATCTCCACACTATTAAAAATAGGTGGATCATCCTGCCCACTAAAGTTAGGCTCCAGGGGATTGCAACAACTAGGTCACTTCAGCTCACAACAAATGCAGTTTTTTAATCCAGACACATTTACAATTCAATTCTTGTTAAATACATTATTTCCTACCATTCAATCAAGTAAGGCAAAACATTGACTTGTTTAATTTTGTACTTAAAAATTTTCTTCATTTTAAGTGAGCCACACTTCGCACTCACATATTTTCTCCACTTACAGAAAAACATTTAATCCTGGATATATTTTTGGACTGTAAATTCGGAAAATTCACCAACATACCCACATAAAGAAAATGTAAACTATTTTTTGTGAACAAAAAAAAAATCATATTTGAATTTTAATTTATCATTAATGAGCTCAAATTCGCAAATTGTATTAACTCTATGCTCATGCCCATTTATCAGTAATGCTTGTTAGCATGTACATTCTTAGAGCTATAAGATTTAATGATTATAATATTCTCAAATGTAGCCATAACAAGTTGCAGGATTCACGACAGAAAAATACTGTGAAATTTCTCAGTTTTGTCCATGTGTTCAAAACAACCCAGTGAGGATAGGCTGACCAAAGTTAACTATGAGTAATGACTTAATTACATAAATTGTACTTATTATTTCACAATTCTCTTTTACTACATTTTTTAATCAAATACGTAACATTCTAGATATATGTATTAGATATAAAAAAGGTTTGTGTCCCTGCTCAGGCGCTAATTTGTTACCGGGTTCCTCCTCAGACTGTTGACAATCCACCTGGTCACCTGGGGCTCAGTGAAGATTTTTTTTCGTGGCCACTTTGTCTCCAAAAATAAAATAATCAAGTGCCACATTGTTTTTCCTTTCCTTTTTGGGAAACAGTGAACCCTTGGGGTGAAACAAGAACAACACACAGCAAACAAACAAGGAAAAATAAAATATCAATCCCTCTGTATTGTGAATAAAATGGAAAACAAAAAGGAAATAAAACATGTTCTCTTCTACAATAATAAAAAAGAAAAAGAAACAGGAAACAAAATTGCATAAAAGAAAAGTTAGAACCTCGTCCTGGCCCTTTTCCTTCTCTTCCAGGGCGGTTCTTCTCTCGCCCCTGCAAACTCTGCTCCATGTCAATAAAATAAATCCAAAATAATTAAACAAAAACACAATAAAGTCCTTTTTCACCTTTCAACCCATTCAAGCTCTAGCTTGGCCTGTAGGTTTATTCTTCTTTCTCACATTTTCACACATATGAGCTGAACTGTGCTCCACTTAACGTAGCAATACTCTGCAATAAAGATAGGCTTTAACTTTTATATATACATTTTAAGCACACACTATCGGTTTATATATATATNAAAATTGTCACCTCATTTTCGTAATTATATTTTTGCAATATTATTATTATTGTATTTTTGTAAATTTATATAAGCTCAAATCTGCACAGTATGCACACACACGCGCGTGCACACACACACACACACACACACACACACACACGTGTGTACAGAATTGTATGTGTAATTTACAATAAATTACTGGCAGGCAGCAAGAATCACCCACCCTGGGTGTTGTTAGACTGAGTTCAGATCTCAGTCTTATCTGTCCCACTGCCAAGGTTTGGCTCCAGGAGCAGTCCATCAACAATTTAACCCCTAACTCTTGCAGTTTTTAAATCTACACACTCATACTTTCCTATTTACATATCATTCATAGTTGAGTGTTGGAGTACTTGATATTCCTCCATCAATCCCTTACATATATTATTATTGCTAATTTTATTATTTACTTTATAAACTGCTCAAAAATGAATAGGGATATTGCCAATTTTGAAGTATGTACTTTCCCCAGCATTTTTATTTTATTTTTATTATAAATTGCATTAAAATTTATTAGATCCCATACTAGCAGATCCCACAAACTATTATGAATCGTTTGTGTTTTGCGTTGCCCACACATCTTGTACTTCATTTAGGATCTGGCGAGCACTATGAAAAGGTCTGTTGTGCAGAAATGACAATATTTCTGTCCTCCCTAAGCGTCGTAATGTGTTGAGATGCACTACCAGGCCTCCTATTGCACTTCAAGTCTCTCAGAATTTGGCTAGAGCCCGAGAGACAAACTGCCTCTGTGATATCCACTTGCCGGTGACTTCGATGGCTCATTCTCACAATAACATTACAAACTTCTGGTTCAAGATGATGTCTTTCCATGGTTAAAGAAGAGAGTACAACTGGATTACAATGAAGAAAAGACAAGAAAAGGTGTTTGTTTAAAAACTGAGTAATCTTCATGTTTACTATTCTTAAGTAATCCATTATTAAAAATAAGGATTAACATTTGTTGGTATTTTTTATTTTGTTTATTCGACTAACAAGAATATATCGAATTAAAATTAATAGAATAAAAATAAATTACAAATATCCCTATTCATTTTTGAGCAATTTATTTACAGTTATTACTACAGTGGTAACTTGAAATACGAGTCAATAATGTGTTTATAATGAATAAATACATACGTATAAACATATGTACATATAAAGGAGGATCTTTAGAAATAAACTGATTTGGTGGAGCCAATTATCCTATATGTACATAGTACAAATTAAATGCTTCATTCATTTTACTTTTGCATAACAATTATACAAAATAGCAATGAATTATACTTTAAAAAAATTAAATAACTGTTAGACTGATCAAAAACAAACCAGGAAAAGAAAATGTTTAAAAAAAACTCAACTGAATGCTTCTGTGGTGGGGTAAACGTGAACTGAACAAGCAAGTGAGCGGGAATCGTGAGCGATGTGGCAGTTGATCAACACCATAGCAGGCTTGTCTTTTAAAATCTGACCCATCGTTGGAGACAAAATTTCAACTTATTGGCAGCTCGTATCCAAAAATTTATATGTTGAGCACTCGTATCTCAAGGTACCACTGTATTTCTGTAATGGACTTATGTCCGCATATCATCAACTTAAATAACATAAATAATTTTATTGAAGCACATTATATATTTTAATTTTCTTTTTGAAGATGTGATGCAGCAATTCGACCATAAACACATCATCAAACTGATAGGAGTGTGTACTGAAAATCCTGTTTGTATTGTTATGGAGCTCGCTAAGCTCGGTGAACTAAGGGCATACTTGAATGACAATAAATCGACTCTTGGATTGTCAACCCTCCTTCTGTACATCTATCAGCTCAGCACGGCACTGAGCTATTTGGAGTCGAAGAAGTTTGTCCATCGAGACATCGCAGCCCGCAATGTACTCGTTGCTTCTGAAGATTGTGTCAAGCTTGGCGATTTCGGGCTGTCGCGATGGGTAGAAGATCAGAGTTACTATAAGGCATCAAGAATGAAGCTGCCAATAAAATGGATGTCACCGGAAAGCATAAACTTTCGACGATTTACTACTGCAAGTGATGTATGGATGTTCGGTAAGTTCTTAAAGTAAATTTAAAAAAATGAAGTTATCAATATTATTATTCCTATATTATTCTGTTTTTTAAATGTATGTCAACCTAAATTACTTTTTTATAGGTGTTTGTATGTGGGAGATTCTCAGTCTTGGCATCAAGCCTTTCCAAGGTGTCCGAAATAACGAGGTGATTGGAAAACTTGACAATGGAGAACGTCTTGGACTTCCACAAGGATGCCCTCCACGGCTTTATAGTCTTATGGTGCAGTGCTGGCAGTACGAGCCATCAAAAAGGCCGAAAGCAAATCAGCTCAAGAACAGTCTTTAGTGAGTATATTGTTCAAGAGTCTGAATACAAATTTTCCTCTTGTTATACTTGAAATCTTAATCATTTTACAAATCCAACAGTGTCCAATAGCATTTTTCATTAAATAATTAATAAAATTAGGAAAGTTCTTGTCTTTTTGGTGCAGTGACTATGCTCTCCAGCTTACATTTGTGAGGGTCAGTTTCAATTATATGATTGATTTTTCTTTTGAAACATATAGAGAAGACTATCCAATAAAAATTTGCCTTCACATATGCGCCCAGCTATGTAGGCTTGTTAAAACAATGCTTTATCACATCAAACTAAAAGTAAAGAGAATGTTTAATAAAATAAAACATAATAACAAAATTAGAAATTAAATTAAAAATTGAAAATGTACTCCTTTAAGTAAAAGAAAAAAAATGTATTTATTTTTTAAAATAAAATTTTTAACTTCGGCGAAAAATTATAATTTTGAAATTATTGTCTTTGACAAAAATCAAGGTTAAAATGCATCATTCAAAAGGCACCTCGTGTAGACTTGAATTTCCAGGATCCTAGGTTTGCCGTTCCAAGATGGCCGCAAAATGTCTTCTTGCTGTTCAGTTGTTACCACTTATTAACTGGACCTCTGATTGACATATATTTCGAAAACGCCTCACTACATCGGCGGAGTTTGTTTATCCTGTATATCCCCTCTTTCCTCCCACATCAATCCTTACTCAGGGGAGACAATTCCAAAAAAAAATGGATAACAACGCCATAGGGAAAATCCAATTTCAAAATTTGGTGAAATCGTCGCACATTGTAATTATACTATGTACTTTATGGTATATTGTTCCTTAAATGGTCTGCCTCCTCAAAACATTGTATAGAATAGTTGCTCTCATACATGCTGAAATCTTCTGTGAAATCTTTAAGGTATTGCATAGATAATTTCCCATGTCAATTCCAAGTAAAATAATTAATGTATGTACATAATTACACATAATTACTTACACACATTCTTATGAGTCTTAAATAAGACATATCTTCCATGTAAAACAAATGTGTGGACCCATTTAACCATGCTAACAGATTTCTTATGCATACCGTAGGTATGTTACTATGATACCTCAAGGTTGCATTTTAACTTACTCCATCAATGCTGTCTTTGTAACACAAATATATGTACATAGACACGTCCATGCTAAAGAGCTGACCTTACCATAATACAAGGCTTTGGTTCTTCCCACAAAGTAGTGTTTACTTTAGCACATTCGTTACAACACTGATTTGTAAAGATTCTAATTTAATCTAAAAATTTTATTAAAATTTTTTTCCCAAAAAAGTCAAATTGAAAAACAATTTTCATAGAAATGTGGTCAGTGTGATACTAAAGGCCTGTGAGGCTATGAGCCTGTGACACCTATTCAGTTCCAAAAATACCCCCAACAAGCTTCTAAAGCAGGGGTTTTCTAACAAGTTGTCCGGAAAATAAAGCAGGTTTATGGTTATAAAATAAAAACAACATGATTTTAAACATTTTTTATTAATTAAAATTTTGTACTCTCTGTCACTCTCAATATACTTCTCCCAACGTGATGGTAACTTTTCTACACCCTCTGAATAGAATTTTGAGTCTTTATTATTAACAAATTCTGTAAACGCATTTTCTAACAACTTTTGTCAATAATTTTTTTTTTTTTTAATAGTATGAAATTGTTGGCCAGGAGTCTGAAAAAATGGTAGTCAGAAGGCAAGAGGTCTGGAGAATAGGGAGGGTAAGGCATAACCTCAAAACCAAGATGCAATAGTTTTTGTTGGGCCAAGCGTTGTCGTGTAACAGAATCGGCCTTTTCCTATTGACCAAAGATGGTTTCAGTAATGCTAATTTCTTGTGCATTGGTTATTCGGAAATTGTGAGATGCGGTCTGGTGTAATGTAGGTTTCAGAAAAACATTTTTTTTATTGCCAGTGTTTCAATTTTTATTGAGATCAGCTTCAGGGCTCAAAGTGTTTGTTTTCTGCATAATCGTTCCATTCTTGCATGTTGTGTTGAGAGTGCCCTGGTGGTCTTTGTAACACAAATATATGTACATAAACACGTCCATGCCAAAGAGCTGACCTTACCAAAATACAAGGCTTCTTCCCACAAAGTAGTGTTTACTTTAGCACATTCGTTACAACACTGATTTGTAAAGATTCTAATTTAATCTAAAAATTTTATTAAAATTTTTTTCCCCAAAAAAGTCAAATTTTTTGCTTAACTTTGAGAGCAATACATTTTGTTATCCATTGTTTTGCCAGTATTCAAGAAGCAGTAGTAAATTAACTAAAATGAAGCGCACCTAGGAGTTACTGCCACTGTTTTTGATGAGTTGGAGCTTTGGAAAATGTGGTGCTGTTTCTCCTTTGTAGAGCCACTGTCCAGAACATATGCTGTTATAGTACAGAATCGAAAAGGTTTCTGTGTTAGCAAAGAAGTTGTCAAATTTCATAACGATTATTTATTTTATTTATTTATTTTTTTGGTGGTCGTTTAATGCATGAGGAACCCCACTTTCGAGCTTTTTCACCTTTCCAATTCACTTAAGGTGGTTAGCGATGGTCAATTTACTAACTGAAAGATACTCTGCAAGTTCTCAAACAGTTCTGGGATTTTCTTTGTCTTCAAGGCTAAAGTTTTCCTCTAGAACTTTTTTTAAACCATCTCTGAATGGTGCTCTCATTCACAGTGCCATTGTGTCAGACTTCATTAATGTTTCTAGCCGTTTCAACACTGTTTCGACCAAGTTTAAACTGAAAATCACATGATGACATCTTTAATTTAGTAAAGACTAAATTATTCTGAAATAACAAAATGTTACTGAGTTAACATAGGTCTAAGGTTATATAGAGAGGGTAATTGAAAGGAAACATGAAAACTTGCATTATTTTCCAGAAAATGCAATATAAAAGGTGAATCATTCTTGAACGATGTCCATATATGGGAAAGAGTTTAGTTCAGAACGACGGCTGTAATGAACATGTTAAAAATAGTGTACAAAAGAGTTGGGTTTTGATGTCTTGCTTTATGGGCTTTGTCATGTTTCCATAGGCAAGCTGGAACTGTTGACATAAAATCATTGTTACTATCATTCAAGTATTTACCGTGCCATCTATCTCGAAATTGTCAGCATCAACATGTTTTCCTTGATGTAAGCTTGCTTTTCCAAATAACATTATCTTGATGATGTCAGTTTTTTAAACACAAGATTATTTAAAAAATGGTTTGTTTTTTCTTATGAAATTTATTTGTTACATTTCAGTGAAATCATGATGGAAGAAAAAAATCAGCAACAAGAAACGCTTAAGAGGGAAAACAGGCGTGTACAAGCAATGTCTTGGGGTTAGTTACTTATATTAAGTGTATACTACATACATAATCTAAAGTCAACCCGATATCTGTGAGAATTGTTTAAACAATTTTCTTCTTTTAAACCAGGCTCTTCTGTATCTGACGACAAGAAGGAAGGTGGTTTGACATACATAGTTGCACAAGATCCACAGGTCCTGGCGCAGCTAATGCGTGAGTCTGAAGTGACTAAAAGGCTCAATCCAACCCTCTACACTCAAGCGGCCTCCCCTTTCAACGTCCTTGCGGTAGAGATTACGAAAAGAGATGAAGGCTACGATAAAAACACAGTAATCAAAAATTAAGAGGAGAAAGCACAGTAGAGATGATTGATGACTGGAAAACCATAAAAAGCACTTTGAATGCTTGTGCACGCATTTTATTTATTTTAAATAATAATAATAATATAACTATATTATGCTTGCTTCATTTCAATATTTAATGAGGTCTTATTTTTACTAATTGTGCACTTGCTGTATTATAAATATTTTAATTATTATTTTTTATTATTTATACAATTATTTATATTTTTTATTATCTTTTTTTTTAGAATTTTGCTATGCTTGTATACTTTAATAGATTGCTAGCATTTACACAAATGTATATACAACCTCAATGTAATTTTTTTAAAAATATTGTTTAATTTGCCTGCTCTGTTTTGTTGTAGCCTTTGTATTTTATATTTTATTTTAAGTTTACCTTTTGTATATTTTAAGTTAAAAAATATTATTTTTGCATGTTAGATATTTGCACAAATGATTAAAAAAAAAAAAAATGAAATTACAAAATTTTTATTTATGTATTTCAATTCCAGGGCAGTTCATCTTCTTCAGGACTTTACGGCGATCTTCTAGCCGTTGAACGAGGCGTTATTACACCGAGCGCTGAAAGCGAACAGGAAGAAATAGAGAAGAAGATGAGAGAACAGCTACGAGAGGCAGAAGAAGATTCGAGGTGGCTTGTTGAGGGCGAGAACAATCTGAAGAAACGCCTTTCCATAGCAACATCTCTATCAGATGAATCGAATGAAGGCGCATCTAACTCAGACTCACTTACAAGGAGTAAGAAACCAGAGCAAGTTGTTAGGCTTAAGGTAAGAATTTAAAAATTCTTCTCAGTCAAACTTCCCATAAGATAAGATACCCCTTGGGAATGAGATTTTGTCCATTTATTGAAAAATTAAGTACATTAAGTTGAAGTAAAAAAATTACATTTTCACTGTTTCTCTAATTTTCTCTTTTTTGTGGATTCAAGAATGACTTTTTCTCTGATAAAATTAATCTTTCTTGTCACACTCATATCCAAATCAATTTGTCATAATTACAATCTGAGAACTGACCAGGAAGAACTGTAGGTGGCAGCAGCCAAATATTCTCTCTGTATCAGCTTGCATTTCTCTAAATGATAGGAAACTAGGGGAAGGTGGAAGGAAATCTTCAACATTGATTTGAATTCTGTCTTTTGTGTACACGCACAACAACAAAATCTTAATCCTAATCTTAATCAATTTAGAAAGTCACAACTCTAAATCTGGGATGATGAGTCTATTAACAAAGGGATTTATCCCAAACGAGATGCTCACGATGATTAGCATTCAACAGCATCCTTAGCAACTTTCAGGTTTCTTGACTTGCAATGGGTTACAACAGCTGGTCCTTGCTGGCTGAGTCTAAGGCCTAGTACGCATTGGGATTCTTTGAGTCGACTCTTTGAATCTCGGAGAGTCTCGGCTGCGTCTAGCCTGAGTCCGGGCTGCCCCGACTCATTATTGTGATGAATCTGGTGTGATGCGGGCTAGCATTTTCGGACTCTTGAATCCCATCCGATGTGGGATTCTTTGACTCAATGTTGTGCAACATTTGCCAGTGCAGACGTGAATTGGAACAAGAGCTCTTGCTTCATTGTTTAGTTGAAGTTTTAGTGAGTGTTTTCTTGAAAATTTGGATACTGTCTTGTATTAAAGGTATGTTGTGGAGTACCGGAGTTGACTTTACAGTTTATTGAAGACATACATTCCCATCAGTGTTTGTAGGATGTATCATTCATGGAATAGAGAAATCGGGAATTGAAAAGCCAAACATTGAACGGATTAACACAAAAATTCAGTGTTTCCACCGCCGAAATTGAAAAAAAAAAAAAATGCACACTTTCAAATGACAGTTTTTTAATGCACTTCCAATTGGATCCACTACGTACAATGCAAAAAAGAGCAAGGGAAATTCCTGAGAGCTAGTTCCTCCGTCATTTTCACAGGCACTTATGAATGTGAACTGAATCATGGTCTGGACACGGTTCTTTGTCGCGGAGCAGAGTCGGGGCTACATCGCAACAATGAATCTACGCAGCCCCGACTCTGCCCCACAACCTGAATCGATTCAAAGAATCTCAGTGCGTACTAGGCTTAAGACTGAGTGTGCTGCCTCTGTTCTGGATCGACTCTTAGAGTTGACTATCTGGGGGTGAGTCTGTGATCTTGACTGAGGACAGTTTTCTGAGGTGACTGCCTGGTGAATTGACTGGCTTTCAAATTCCAAATCATCCCTTTGTATACCAGTTTCTCTATTGCTGGAGTAGGGGTGGAAGGAAATTCAAAAATCAGGGGAGTTCCCACTCCACTGGGTAGACTACCAAAGGCAGGTGTCACACACCTGATTGTTCGACCCCAATTTATGATGCCCCACATTGCTGTATATTTTTAGCCTTATGACAACCTTTCAGCACTAAATAACTCTACATCCAACTACTATTGCAACTTCATGTTTTCTAGATTCGTGGGAAACATCAGGTCTCTCCCATATGGATCTGTGTCACCCTTCGATGTTCTTATTTGTTTGTCCAACTGTTTAATTATTGCAAGGCTATTTCTTTGACACCCTTCGACCACCTGCTGAACTATTGCAGTGTTAGGTTTTCCAGATTTATGGGGGGGGGTCATCACGTTGATCCTGTCTAGGTGATTGCCCCTTCCTATTTACTGCCTTTTTTTCTATGGTTTTGTGTGTAAGTGTGTGTGTTCTTACTTTTACAACTAGAACATATTCTAAGATGGCAACCAGCTTACAGAGTCAAAAGTGAGAGGGTTTACGTTGTGAGATTCCTGCAACATCCTTAAATTCTGTTCTTCTTTCTGTTGTATGTTCATAAGTTACTATTTCATTGAAAAATATGTTGTTATAGTGTTTGTATCCATTTATTATAATGTTATTAGAAGTACTTTTCTTGAGAAAGGAAATGAGTAACACGTTGAAAAATAAAGTTGTTGGTCATGATGGATGTTCTACTGTTAGAAGCGTCTGTTTGTGGATGTACATTTTAGTTTGAAATAGCTGCTTATTTTTTTTTCTTTTCTTGTAGAAAATGGAGCCAAAACCAACTGCAGATCTTGATAGGACAAATGATAAAGTTTACGAGTGCACAAAAAATGTGGTGAAAGCCGTTATGGCCCTTAGTCAAGGTCAGTGCAAAATTAAAATTGAACGTCTTTTATTTCTCTTTAGATGTCACTGTTTTTTATTAACTCTGTTAAAATTTACATATTTTAGTTAAAGTTGTGCAACAGAGCACACAGCATCTTCAAAATAAAAATTTAAAATATTGTAATATAAGAATTTTTAAACTATGATGTTGCAGGAGTCCAAGATGGCCATACTGATGTTTATCTCAGCCTTGTGAGAAAAGTCGGCATGGAGCTGCGATCACTTCTCACAAGTGTGGACGTTCTTGTTGAAATATTTCCGGAATCTGCAATAAGGGAGGTTGAAATGGCACACCAGGTCCTCGGGAAAGATATGTCTGAGCTAATTAACGCCATGAAGCTAGCACAGCATTATTCAACCAACACACTTGACTGTTATCGCAAGTGAGTGAAAAAAAAGTTTAATTTAAATGCTGAGCGCAATAAATATTAGATCTTTAAATTTGAAGTAGCGATTGTTTCTCCTGATTATATCAGTTTTCTCTTTTAGTTTTTAAAGAATTGTCTATTGTCTAACATATTTTTAATTAATTAATTATATTTTTTTCAAGGGGAATGCTCTGTGCTGCACATGTTCTTGCCATGGACGCCAAAAATCTTTTAGATGTTGTAGACCGAATTAGGCTGGAGCATGAGCAGGTCGATGCTCTAATAAGTGCAAAGCATGAGGCCAAAGAACCTCAAAAATGAGTCATAATGATGAAGACAAAGAGAAAGAAAGCTTTTGTTACCTGATTTACTTTGTAAAATGTTATTTAAAAATTTTTCTTCTTTTTCTTTATTTCTTTTGTTATGTAATATTATATATATAAATTATGTTGCTCCTATCTAATTATATTTTCTTTTATTTGTACATATTTTAAATTTTGATAAATAACAAATGAAAATATGATTATGGCATTGTATTATTAATTTTATATTTCTATTAAAAGTGATTTGTAAATTTTTTTCCTTGTACTGAGACTCATTTTTATTTAGTCTGATTTTATAGATTTGATAATTTGTATATTTTATTGTGCGTAAAAAAATATATATTTAAGAATGTAGAAGTGAAATATTTTATTGTCCTTTATAGAAATATTTCAGCCATTTTTCTATCAACAACTGGGGTCAAAATGAATTTGAATGTGAACTCTCATCCTCATGTCACAGTGGTCCCTGGGACAGGTGGCTGGGATCGTGTACCGCACATGGTACCGCTTTTCCCTTGCATTCAACGCACGTTTGTTTTCATGCAAAATCCAACACACTTTTGCCTATGAGATTTCTTTGGGGATGATTGTTTTACTTTTTAACTTTTACAACAATAATTTATTTTTTTATTTTAAGGCTTATCTCAGTTCAAGTCCTTTTTTTACAATTAATATCAACTGTTAATGTGCTTATAGCTATTGTATTAGGTTTTCTCTTACATTCTCTGACATCTTATTCATGTCATGTGACCGCAATCCATATATCCTTTTGTTAGGTGACTGCTGACGGGGGACCACTTGGCATTATTGGATGTAACCCAAGGACCACTAATGTATTTTGAAAAAATTGTTACAGTTGTTTAGGAAACAAGAAAAGATCTATGCTTTAGTTCATTTATACCCTAAGGATACTAGAAAAAAAATTGTATGGCACAAGTGTTAATAAAAAGCATTACTTTAATTAATTGTTCTTTTTATCTAAGGTTTTTGGTTTAGATGAAAAATTAGTGACACAAGCGGGATTCGAAGCCTTATTGTGAGTACTGTACCTTATTGAGCTGAAGGTCGTGGGTTCGAATCCCACTCATGACACTAAATTTTCATCTCAATCAAAAACCTTAGATAAAAAGAAAAAGAATAACTATTAGAAAATGAAATTTTGTTTTTGCTATAATAAATCAACTCCAAGAGTTAAAATAATTTAAGACATTTTATTAGTGGATTTTCTTTAAATTTATTGTTTTTTCGTTTCTTCCTTCAGGTTGCTGGATTTTAATTATTTTAATATAGAAGATTTACTAACTGCATGACCCTGGTGGCGGGGGGGGGAATGCATTTTCTAAAGGAAACTCACTGATTTTTCATTCTTCTCTGCGTTTTGATATGTTTTAATGTGAAAAATCACCTTCGAATACATGTTAATATAATTTTAACATACCTTCCTAGTAAATACTCATTTTCAAGAATACAAAGTGTAATGAGTGGAAAATTCCAGTAGAATGTAAACGAATTTTTTTAAATAATAAAATGCTGGAATAAGCGGGACATCGAAGATGGCGAGAAATACTCATCTGGCCAATGTAATTTCTTACTATGTACTTATACAATCCATTTCTACATATGATATTTAATAATTTTGAACTTCATCTATAACAATTGAAAGATTTTAAATAGTTTTGTTTCTTTTTTCTTCAAATCTTTTATAAATTAATAGGCCAATTGTTATTGGCTAGGCCATCAGTCATTTTCAGATAGTTTGTACTATTACTCGAACGTCTCGGCTTTGCTTGTTCTATGCTTGTGGGATTGTGGGTGTTTTATTGTTTTATTTAATGAAAGCTTCAGAACAAAAAGATGAACTAACACCGACAGACCTTAAGGGTTGTGAACGATGCTACTATCATTGCGGTTCAAGTGCGAATGAATTTAAACTTAAATGAGTTGTTACATCAAATAATGATACACATAAAAATAGATAGAAAATCAACATTTAAAAAAATAATAGTAACAAAAAAGGTTGTTGTTAATAAAAAAAAGTTTGTATGAACTTCACTGGTGATTAATCTGACTCCCAATCTCTAAATATTGGGCTATGAAATTGTCTTGGGACGTCTTATCAAGGATTTTAGGGTTGCATATTGATTCCTCCTTGACATAGGAAGCTCATATAAATTAACACGTACCAAAATTAAACAGGGTGTTTTTTTCAATCTGGTGAATTCTAAGAGCCGACACATTCATAAAATTGTATACATTAAGTAATTTTGAATCACTTCTCTCCTATGATCTGGTTTTCTGGGGGAAATAGTACTAGCCCTATTAAGGCCTTTATAATATTTTTTTTTGCATAATGAACGGTGTAAGAATAAGGAACTCTTGTTGAGCTTTTTGTAAATTATTATACATATAGTAATTATTATAAAATAATGACCCTAGCTGGCTAACACATTTATAGAATTGCCATTTTCATTTTGAAAAAATCCTTTTCCCTACTAATTTGGCAATTCATTTTTATAATATTCTTTCGAACAATGGTTTTAGATCGGGCTATAATAATAGTAGATGTCTAATAAATGTGTTTCACACATGGGAATACACATTTTCAATGTTCTCCCTGTTATTATCAAAACGATTAATAGTTTGTCCGGTTTTAAAAGGGTTTTGAAGATAAATTTACAGGGAAAATCGTATTATGATCTAAATTAATTTTTTAGTGCTACCTTATTACGATAATTTTGTAATTATTGTATTAATTTATTTGTAAATCGACGTGTCCATACAATGTATAATATGACAATAAATGTTTCTATTCTATTCTAAGATGGCTGACAGTCCAAACCATCGGGGCTAGAAGACTAGAGGGATCAAAAAAAGATTTCAATGACTATACTTAATCGTAAGAAAACAATTTCTTTTTCATACATCATTAATACATAAAATCCATGTATATAAGATTAACTTGATAAGAAATCAAATAAAATATTTTAAAAAATCAAAAACTAAACTGTTGGTCGTACGGCACAATTTGTCATTTTATTTCACTTCGAGTAGCAGAAACATGCGTGTCGTGTGGCGAAGTCGAAAAGATTTAGGATGTTGTAAGGGGGAGAAGGTCGACGAGTTAAAGTTTATCCGAAGTTCGAAGAACTGAATAGAAATATCTTTGACGAGAACTTAGATGAACTTCGCTGAGCCGCTGTTTAGACGTCTCTCACTGTTTAAGGTGTGAGTGTGTAGGGAGAGAAGCATATTATTTCATAGAATCTGCACTTTATTGGGATGAAAAATGAAAGATTGTCCAAACAGATCTCGTCTAGTTGTACCATTTCAAAAGATATTTTATATAAGGATTACAGAAGAAAAATCACTTATCAAATGGTGAATTCAATCACCAGGAGTGAATACGGAAATCCAGTGAACAAAGTTCTTTGCTGTTACAAGGAATAGAAATTCTTCTATGACAACGCAAGCGTCAAGTTTCGTTGGTGACGCTGCAAAAATTGTTGCTCTAGGGCTTTGGCATTCTAGCTCATTCAGCGTATTCACCAACAATGCACCGTGTGATCACAATCATCACGGCGTTGTTTGAATTGTGCGGGGTTAAAAAAAAACAGAAATTTATTTAAAAAATTTTAATTTCTAAAAACTAACAAGAAAGAACACTGCTGCATATGTTAGGACTTTTTTTTCTGCTTGTTCAGAGTGTACTTACTTTATTAACACATGCCTTAAAGCCAATGGTGATTTAATTAAGGTTTAACAGAAATAAATTAACAAATATGCCAATTCGACCGAAATGCAGTTTATAGATTTAAGAGGTATAAAAACCGAGAATAAGAATGAGAAAGAATGTTCATATTAGATAAATAGATAGTAGAAAGCAAGAGATGGAGAAAGGGAGAAAGGGAAATGGAGAGGGGGGGAGAGAGAGAGAGAGAAAGAGAGAGAGAGAGAGAGAGAGAGAGAGAGAGAGAGTGAGAGAGTGAGAGAGAGAGAGTGAGAGAGAGAGAGAGAGAAAGAGAGAGAGAGAGAGAGAGAGAGAGAGAGAGAGAGTGAGAGAGAGAGTGAGAGAGTGAGAGAGAGAGAGAGTGAGAGAGAGAGAGAGAGAGATGTAAAGAATTAAGAAAGACAGCTCATTCACTTTCTATCAGACTCAATCACTTAATAAATTTCTCAAGAGTAGTATAAGAACGATTATCTGCGGCTTTGACCGTGTAAACAATGTAAAAGACAGTAGGTTCGTGGAAATTAGTTTATCAATTAACTTTTCGAACGATGCGCTATAAAAATAATGTTTACAATAAAAATTGTTTTTACAGGTGAAAGGAATAGGGCCGTTGTTATGATACTTCCGTCTATATTCCTGCATGTCGCCTTGATTTTGAATAACTTCAGCTGAAGAGAAAGGCCTCGAGGTCCACTTGCTCAAGCGTAAGACGATATTCATGATCGTCATCCACCTCTAAGACATTTTTGCACATTGTAATATAAAATAGAATAGTTAAAATACGAGATGCCTTATTTGTAGCATGTTTAATTATATCGGATTATCTACATACGGACTACCGAGTACATATATCGATAGAGGTTGAATTTCAAACATGAGTATCGAAATGGTTATAAAGTTTAAAAATTGTATAATACACAATGTTCTTACTTGTCGCCTGATAATTTGTTATATTTATTTATTTATTTTTTCGCTTCGATTTCTATTCCCAAAGCACGTAATCTTCGATAAGGTCGAAATAGTTGTTATCTGGTTTCTGGCAGGGTTTATGAAAACTTTCGAACCGTTGTTAATGATTAATTTTCAAATTCAAAGGGAATCCCCGATAAGACAAACAATATTAATTTTATTTCTAAAAGTGTTCTTTATCTTATTTCAGCCATTCCTTCATGTTGTTGGATTAACAATATATAAAAAAAGAAAGATGAAAATTCATTTCATTCCCACCATCGGAGCTCCTGAACAGTTGCCTCCAAATGAACTGGGTTGCATTCTTTGGCGGTGATGTGATAATTGCTCTTATGCGGTAATAAGCGAAGGATTTAAAAATAGCTCCACTCCTCCCATATTCATCCATCCATCCCCCATCCCCTCCTCACTATACGAATCCTTAATTCGT